CGGTTTCTGCTAGGCGACTTCACATTGGTCACAACCGTTACTTTGGAGATGCGTTTGATGCCGAGTTCGGCTTTGTGGGTTGCCAGGAAGTATGCTGCTGTCGCGCCGATAGGTGAGGCTAGAGGTAGTCAGTAGGGTTTTAATTTACAGCCGCAACCTGAAATCTAGGCCGGGAGGTCGTCAAGGATTTCCTGGACGTTAGACTATCTTGCCAGAACACGACATATTCTGCAAAGGGGTATATGAAAGTGAGGTTGCTTACCAATGAGTGCCATGTATTCCTCAGTTCCAATTGGGAATACAGCACCCGGCCAGGGCGATAACTTTTTAATTCCTTTGTTCTTCATGGCCCGAGCGACTAGGAGACAGGTATCAGGGTTGATGACATGGTGAGCGGCGTACATGCGGAAGTTCTTGATATTGGGGTTGTCGCGAACCCAATAGCCCCAGAAGATGTCGGACGCGGTACGAAGTTCGGGCAGCTCTCCGGGGTTTGCTGGCCGACCCCATCCCATGTTACCAAGAACAGCATGGCCTGGACTCTCGATGTTCGTTGCCATGATGCCTCCACCGTTTGCGCCGATGTTGACAGTGAACTCGTAGTAACCGCAAGTTGACTGGGCTGTGTCAGCTACGTGCTTTCAAAATCAAACCATGCTTGTTCCATCGAAGTCTGTGACAGCCACAGGTGCTGTTGGATCGAGTATGACATACCAAGTATTTTTTGCCCGCAACGTAATAATCCTGGTCTTTGCAAGCCATCATACCCCCAAATTGGGGGCGTGGGTCCGGTTCCCGTTCTTCGTCATAGTGTGTAATCTTGAAGCATTCATTGTCCCCACCCAGCCGCTCGCCTTCGTCGTCAAACTTCGGTTGCGAGTTGAGACCGTGGCCTTCAAACGCCGTTTTGAGCCCCTTGGCTTCGAAATCGCCATCCCAGCCCGTGTCAACATCCCCTTCGTGCCAGTACCACAATGGAATCTCAGCTCTGAGCTCGCCGGTCCATTTGCTCGCTGCGGAAGGCGGTTGTCTTGTATCTTTCGAGAGCCACCCGGCGCCTCTGTCGGTGGCGTCCATGAGACACGTCAAGTGATGACCCTTGTCCAGGTACTTTTGCCATTTAGTGTCATCGGCCCAATTGCCTGGATTGAAGTCGCCGCCATCGGCACGGGGAGCGAGAGCAGGAGGAGCGAATACCGGAGCACTGAACTCTGGAGGGCTGAACTGGGGAGGAGCGTCCGAGCAGTCGATACCGAAAGTTCTGGTAATCACGGAACTGTCGATATGTCTACCGATGACCAAGGCGACGAGCGCGATAGCGACGCCTAGAGTACTTCGGGGCCTCATAACTGAAAGTTTTGAGGTGGGTTGTGGGATGTTGCCGGATACCGATGGTGCGCGGTAGACAAGGAAAGAGCGTTTGTCGCCCCGTATACGCTAACCGCACCCAGCGGTGAAGTGAGTGAATCATAGGCAGGCGAGAGAACAGATAAGTATTGCTAGCGCGCGCGAATCCCACCTGGGCATGCTCCGACGAGACATGATCTAATCCCCAGATTAATGCTCCAGGACGCCTACATCACAACAAAATCCTCCGGAACTACACCCACGAACCTAATATCGCCGCCACGCATCACTCCTTATACAACTCCGCCGTCCTCACTCTCCCCTCCTCTAGCACCGCCTTCACCATCTCCTCATCCCTCGGAACAAGTCTGACCCCAAAATCCCGCGGAATAGCCACCAGCGCACTTTTAATAGCATTGTAATCCACATAATCCGTATTCGGCGGATTCGTCACACTCGCCTCAATCTTGTACAGACTGAGCAAACGAAACAGCGCAGCGTAGATAAGTTTGCTTGCTATCAAAGCACCGGGACAGAATCGGGAGCCAGCGCCGAAGGAGAGGTGAGGGAGGTTCGCGTGGGGAGTCGGTGTGTGGAGGGAAGATGGGGTAGTTGGGGGTATGAGCCAGCGTTCGGGGTTGAAGGTTGCGGCGGTGGGACCGAAGTAGTCTGTGTCTGCGGACTGTTAGGTCTCTATCCATGTCCTGGAAGTGAGCACCATCTTACCGTGATTCCCAGCTTGAGCGTTGATCAACACCATCGTTCCCTTCGGTATAACCGCATCGCCCCACCTGACCTCGCTCATCGTCTTACGCGGTAGACTCATGTTACTGACGGTATAGTACCTCCCCGCCTCCTTCACGATCGCGTTCAGATAGGGGACAGTTTCCTTCTCAAAGTCTGTTGCCCAAGCTTGCTTCAGCGCCGCATCGTCCGGGTACATCTTGCGTATCTCGGCGTACGCACGCTCTTGGTATATCTGGCCTTCGGGTGTACATAAAGAACCAATGCAGGATACTAATGTACCGGGTATCGTTTCAAAGCCACCGGAGACAAGAGAGAGACAAATAGAACTCACTTCGACACCTGTAAGGCGGGTCTCTTCGTCTTTGAGAATAGCAGCGCTGATACATGGTTTCTCCGTCCCATTCTTGATCATCTCGCGGACCTTGTCTAGAAGCTCGTTGAGGTACTTGTCTCGTCGCTCGCGTAGTTCTTTCGAGCGCCGGTTCTTTTCGTTGTTGGGGAGGTATCGCAGGATGGGAACGTAGTCTTGGTAGTTTTCTGAGGCGGAGCGCAGGAGCGAAATAGCTGAGCCGACCTCGAGGATCTCACGGAGAAGATCATCATATACTGCGTCCATGCGGATGCCATAGCATAGTGTAAGCGTTGTGTTAAGGGCGTAGCGCTGAATGTAGGGTCGGATGCTGACTTCGACCTCCCCACTCTTGCTGTCGCGGCAGAGATCTCGGGCAATGCAGTAGGATTCCAGGTCGAACATGTCGTAGTAGTTCTTCATCATGCCTTTACTCAAGGTAGTCGATGCGGCCTTGCGCTTGTTACGACAGCTCTCGTCCCACGGTGAACTCCCGATAGTGAATCCCTGTGTCGATGAGATCAACCCATGGAAGGTATACAGTTTCGGCCGATCGATCAGTCCCTGGGAGTTCGAGACCAGGATCTTCTTGCAATCTTCGAAGGAATTGACGATTACAGCGCGCGTATTGCCAAGTCGAATCTGGAAGACCGAGTTGCCATACTGCCGCCACCACTTCTCGCACACTGTCGCATGGTCGTCGCCGAGCTGGGTGAGGTGACCTACAATTGGAAGAGCACCTGGTATCTCTGGTATACCGCGGATGTATGGGATATCGGTGCGACTCAGTACCTAAGTAGTTGTCAACATTGCTAATCTTAGCCGGCTTCCAATGAAACAAATACCTTATACGCTACAAATACAACAGCTGCAACAATTGATACCACTACTAGATGACCAGAAGGCATATACCTAGCGTGTGGTACGATGTCCGGCAGATGCTCCATGTTAGAAGTTGGTGCCACGAATCCTTGATGTCAACAGCAAGGGAAGAATTTGTTAGCAAAACAACGAAACGGTTACTTATAGATGCCATCGTTCAGGTGTGGGAGGGCACTACCGGCATCCAATGCCTTCATGCATGATCGCGAGGGGTGCATTCGGAACCGTTCCGAAGATAACGATCGGCTTATCAGCACTGCTCCCACCTTTGAGTTCATCGAGAGCCGCGCAACGCGCCGACATCGCCTCTCAGCCAATGTAGAAAGATCTATTGTGCGCCCACAGATCGACCGCGTGGAGTTGCCAGATGCAGCTGGTAAAGCACGTGGATGTAGGTAAGTCGCAAGCGTACAAGATGCTGAGCTACACCCGTGTCTTGGAATGTAGTTTTGAGGTATACGCGACGATCGAGACTCCAATTGGAATAGATCCAGAGAGCCTGTACACGTCAAAGTCATTGTTGATATTATCAGTTGGCAGAAATGAGCTTCTTCGCATGTGTGTCGTGAAGATCATCGACGCGACTGAGGGGAGGCTGGAGTTGCATTGACCGCTGACTAAGCCAGCTCAGGCATCCTGCCGTTGCGTCATCCAACGCGCTCCTACGCGATTCCTCCAACTCCGCGTAACCATCCTTCTGCCTGAACTCGGTTACGCAGCCATGTCTGCCTTACACTCGCAGCGCCCATCTTACCAATGCTATAAAGACGCGCAATCTCACTTTAATCACCTACTAACACCGCATTAACCCACACCACAGTAACAGTCCCAACCATTCCATCCACCACCACCCAAAATGCCCATCACCGAACTCGCCCTCCTCCACCTCACCCCCGGCACCACGCTCGAATCACCCACCCTCCGCGCCAACCTCTCCCACGCGAAAACCGTCCTACAGAACTACACAAACTGGCCCTTCTACTACATGCAACAAATCTCTAATCTAAGCTGCATTTACGTAGTAGGAGAATAGGACTCGCTAGACTAGCACCTAAACAATTTTATCTCTAGCGCAGATAACTAAGCGCTGTTAGAAAGCTTAAAGGACTACATTACTGTAGATTCTAACCTTAAACATCTCGATGTCCCGAACGACGAGCTGCCGCTGCCGAGAGGGGAGGAGGCGTTAGAGAGGGCGAGGAGGGGGGAGCAGGTGTGGAGTATCACTTATTACACTATCAAGGCTGGGAAAAGAGAAGCTTTCGAAGTTCAAATCAGGGAGATAAAGGAGAAGTTAGATAGAACCTATTTTAGTAGGGAAGGCAGGATTAGAGGTAGGTAGTGTGTTAGGAAGAAGGAGGGAGAGGATGATGTGTTTGTAACGCTTTTTGCTTGGAGGACTGTTGCGGAATATAAACTGTTTAGGAAAGGGAAGGAGAGGGAGGCTTCTGCGTATACGGGGGAGTGTGTTGAGCGGAATGATGTTAAGCATGTCAGGCTTTTGGATATATAAGCAGGTTTGTATGATAAGGGCATGGGATCGTGGAGATGGTAGGCTAAAGGATATGTTCTCATGGATGTTTGGGATCCAGAAACCTCAAAGGTCCTTTTTACTAAGCGATCATACGCAGACTTTCTCTTACTCCATCACACATCCATACCTCTCCACTTCCCTCTACTGCCCCAACAATATCTTCATAGTCTCGACCCCCACTCCCAGCACCTCCTGACTCCTACTCCCCTGCAACACACCCTTCAATTCTTCCACCACACCCCTCTGCTTACAAACCTCCACCCCCTCCTTAACATCCACCACACTCCTCAGACAAACAATCCCGCGGTACCTAATCCCCTCGTCCTCATCCTTGCACAACCCCACAAGCCACTCCACGCTCTTATCCTGCTTGAGAAACTCCAGCACCGCAAGATCCACACTCAGCAACATTGCCAGCGCGCCTCCAGCTGCTGATCGTGTCGCAGCGTCATCAACATCCGTCATAGCGAGCAGGAGATGCAGGCGGTGCTTTGCCCGCGGCGATCCGTCCGCGAAATTAGAGATGCAAACCGGTGAGGCCATGAGGTTACATAGGAGTTCTGTGGCGGCACGCCGGATCATCGTGTTGGAACTCAGTAACAAATCATCAACGACTGTGTCGAACGACTGGCGGATGATATGGTCCTGGGTATTCCGGTCCAGAGAAGCGAGGTTCGTGAGTGCGAGCAGCGCTTCAAAGGCGTGCAGTTGCCAGGTTGAAGACTCTGTTCGTGTGAGTTGGCTGAGGAGGGGCCGAATGGCTGATGCGCTGGGTAGTGCAGCGTTGAAAGCGTGGGACGGGTTTATGCTTATCAAGAGCCGGGAGAGGGCTTGCGCTGTTGTGGGGAGGGCGGCGGGAGGGAAGGGCGTGGTGCCGGTTGTTGAGAGGTCGTTTGTGGAGGATATGTGGTCGTGGATTTGGATGAGCAGCTTCACCGCGCCTTGTTGCGCCATTGTGCCGCGAGACTTTGTGTCTTTGGACAGGGAAAGCAGGATTAGACTGCTTTGGGTGAGGATGGATGGGGACCCTTTTTTGCAGACTTGTACGAGGAGGGGGACGACGCCGGCGTCTAGAACGCGCTTGCAGCGTATGGCGACGTCTTCGTCGTTGAGGAGAACGTGGGGGGTCGATGGCTTTTGCACGTTGGCGTAGGCTTTGAGTTGGGCCATGCGCTTTTCCTCCTCGGATTGTAGGGGCAGGTATTGTGTGATGTTGACGAAAATTGTCAGGCCGCCGAATACGATGTTCTTGGGTGATGAAGGGTCGCTCATTGTTTCGATGAGGCGTTTGAGGAACTTTGGCGACTTGGAGAGATCTTCTCGTACTTTGGGTTGGAGCGAGGCGTAGGCGAGTCCTTCGACGGAGTCTTGCTTTGAGGATGTGTCGCCGCCTATGACCATTGACTTGAAGCTGGCGATCAGATCACTTTGGTCTACCTTTTCTGCCCTCACGATTCTTGGTGCATCCTCTGACGGTTGCTCTTCGCCTAGCTTGACGAGGACAAGCGCGGCCAAGTTGGCACGCTTCTTGTTCTGGCTTTCTGCGACAACATCCTCCAGCCACTCTCTGCAGTTCTTGCTGATCGCCTCTCGACAGTTCTTATCGACACATGCAGCGCTGATCAACTCTAGAGTAGCCTGCTCAAGGTTGTGCGATTTCTTGCTCTGGACTCTTGACACCAACGTACTAACAAAGCCATCTGTGAGGAACAGCGCAGCAGCAGCTGTGACGGCGACAGGGAAGATAGCCGCAGCCGCCGAAAACGCAATAACCAGATCATTCGCTTCCCCCTTTTTCGTCCGGTGCGTAACAAACTTCGAGATCAACTCGCTAGCAGTCTCAGGCGCAAGCTCAAACAACTTGATACTCGCAAGAGTAGCCTGACTACGCAGACTAGCTGGCAGTCGAATATCCAGCGACGTGAGGATAACATCGAAACTATCCGCATCAATAATGCCCTTAAGATGCTCCGCATAATGAGCAAGCAGCTGCGCGATCCCCTTCATCGCACGCTCAGGATGCTCAAGCGCCTCCTCCATCATCATTGCCAAACTGAGCATGAAGATATCTCTATGCCCTGTCTTGAAAGATTCGTCGTCGGGCCAGACCGCCCGGTTGAGACAAACTTTGAGTAAGCCGTCGATGGAGTCGTCGCCCCGCTCGAACATCTCGTAGTAGATTCGTGTCGGCTGCTCGCGGATGGCTTTGGCGACCCACATCTGGGCCCCGGGGTTCTGGAGTAGTTCGCCTGAGACCTGGTCGAGGATGTCGTCTTCGCCTTTGAAGTCGAAGAGGATGGCCATTGCTTGTTCTGCTTCGTCCTGCTTCAGGCCATGGGTCCGAATTGCTTTGAGTGCCTTTTCGCCATCGTGTTCGTCTTTGCTGCGGACCCAGGTTCGACAGTGACCTAGTAGTTCGCTCTTTCCCTCTTCTTCTTTCAGTGCAAGCCATGCCTCTTTGATCTGCGGATGCTCGGGTGCGATCGTACTAGCTTCACGCAGGTACCGAGCTGCAACGGTTAAATCGCCTGATTTGGTGCTCTCACTTGCCTTCTCGGCAAGTTGCACCGCTCTGTCTTCGTCGGATGTGGAAGACATCGTTGATTGTATGATGGAAGAAGGTCACTCTAACGTGGTGACCTTTGGAGTTCATGGATGCCCACGTGTCACGGGGCCTGGATCGATTTGATGGAAGACGCACGGGCCTCTGCGGAGCTGTTTTGTGGAGCGCGGGGAGGTTGATCATTCCTACAGCAGGAGCAACCTTGAAACTTCCCTTTTGATAGCACACCAGCTCTATGTGCTTATAGATCCTAGATGTGCTCTGTATGCAAACCTGATGTTACCAAATTCAGCCCTGGAGCTTCCAACAGCTATGTCAAATTATCTTCTTCTTGTATTCGCACTCGTGTCGTAACGATTCGCTCGCAATGATGACTATGAGTGGTACTTTGGGCCATGGATGTAAAGGTGTCATCACTGCATCAAAATGCGTTCAGAAGATAGTAGGCAAAGACTATTCTTGATTACCAAATGCACCTCATCCCGTCATTAAAAGATCTAATCCTCGCTTTCCCGCAATGAAGCGTGCGAGGTCCAAAGATATATACCTACGCCTAGAAGATGCTCAAGTATAAATGCTTCGCGAACGAGAAACAATGAGGCCGACCGCTCTGAAATGATGATACAAAACGCCATGCCAAAACGCTATGCAAAACGTGCGCCAATTCCCAGACCTCCCTTCCATGTCCCCGCAACTCCATGTTCACATGTTCTAATGCACCACCACCCTACTTCCCCTCATCAACCGCCGTATCCGCCCTCTTCCTCTGAATAACGCCCAAAAACAGCAACCTCTCCCAAACATCATCCTTAACAAGCACCCTCGTCTTATCAAACGGCAGGCCATCCAACTCCCTCAGACTCCTACAAAGATTCGCCAGCATCATCTCAGTAACCCGACGCCTAATCCGGGTCTCGTAGTCCAACCGTTGCAAGTGCTGGACATCGGCTTCGACTTCGCCCTCAGGCAATACAAAGCGGTTGGTGAGTTGCTCGTCGGAGGGTTTCTGCCGGAGAGACAGGATGCGGTTTTCGCACGTGGGGGCGTAGAAGCGGAGGGTGAGGGGGTTGTCGCGCCAGTCGAGGGTGGAGAGCGTGGGGAGCTTGCCGAGGACCATGGCGTTGGCGCGGAGGCGCTCGAGTTTGTTGCCGGCGAGGAGGAGGGTGCTGAGGCGTTTGATGTTGAGGAGAGGGCGGAGGTCGGTCAGTGAGTTGAAGTTGAGGTTTATGGAGCGGATGTTGGGGGTTAGCTGGCCGAAGTTGTCGGGGAGTTCTTTTAGGCCCATGGAGGCTAGTTCTAGGCGTTGCAGACTTAGTAGGTGGGAAGATATCTGTAGGCCGTAGGTTGGGTTGAGGGAGAGATAGAGGTTGCGGACTTCGGTGTTTCGGACTAGGTTGCTTGCGCACATCTCCATGTCGGATTCCGAGTTTAGGATTTGTTCGCGGGCGGAGAAGGTGCGGAGGTGGCGGAGATGTTCTAGTCCAGATACTTGTGTCAGGCAGTTGCCATCGATGTAGAGAGATTCAAGCTTGGGGAAGTACTGGTCGACGTCGAGGAGTGTTGTTCCGTTTCGGCACATACGGATCGAGCGCAGGAATCTGCATGGCTTCAGAGGCCCATCAAGAAGGGGAAACTCCTCGATTTCGTTGTCATCTTCCGAGAGTCAGTATTGATCGAATGAGTATAGCAAGAAAAGACATACCAAGGTTGAGATGCTGAAGCTGGGGTAGGCAATGCAGATTCCGCACTTCAACCAAACGATTCTTGCGCATATCCAGGTCTGTGAGTGATTTTCTATCGCACGAATTAGCAGGGAACAAAGCATGTTCAAGTTAATATACTTACAGATTCGTTCGGGTGAAGTCGACCATGTCAATCTCGTTACCACGAACACTCAACTCCATCAGACCATCGAGGTGTAAGATGCCTTGAAGAGATTTGATCTTGTTGTTGTCAGCCTTGAGTATGCGAAGATGCACAAGCTCAGCGAGACCGTCAAGCCTATCGATATCGTTGCCGGAAATGTCAAGGTGCTGAAGATTGACGAGGGTCGTCCAGGAAGTAAGTCCGTTCAGGCAGTTGTTCTGTACTTGTAGTCGCCGCATGGTGTAGGGGATGCCCTCAACCTGATTGATCTTGTTGTCCGAAACATCAAGTTCTTCGAGAGAGTAGCAGAGCTCATCAAGGCGGTGTAAGCTATTGAGATCCTTCTTCCGGAGATTGACGCTGCGCAGATCCTCCCAGTACGGCTCATCAGGCTCAACATCTTGCAGCGCCTTGACGAGCTCCGCAGTACCCTGTGCATAGCGGTCCTCCAGGGCCTTGGAATATCGACTCCCGTTGTGCTTTACAACAACTCGATCCGGAAGGTCAAACTCGTCGATCTGATTGAGGGTGAACTCGGGGAGATCGCTGAGCATGAATGTAACATCCTTGACAGGTGATGACGGTGCGGCCACAAGTGTGTCTCGTCGTTCGTGTCTGAGAGGAGGTGCGACGTTCATTGATAGTTGCATTCGATAGTTCTTTGACGGGGCATCGTCCAAAATCGACAGATCGCCATCTCCGTTGAAAACTGGCAAACGACTGGGCCGCCCATGCGACACAGTCCGGGTACCGTTCGTTTGTTCCCAAGCAGATTGTTTCTTTTCTGACCTCTGCTGCGCACTTGATGGTCCCCATTGATTTTGGCGGCGCTGTGGTGGTGCGCTTTCGGAATGCTGGTCCCGCGTAGGAGCCTCGTGCTCAGCGATCGAAATAGTGACATTGCGCACTCGCGGACGCTGCACACTTGCAGGAGCATGGTCTCTTCCTTCAAAGTACTGGATCTCGTGTTCGATACCATCTTCCTCCGACTCCGGTATGGCATACGTTGTAGGCGCATGGGGCATCTTGTGTGTACTGTAGTTTCGAGGAGCTTGCGTGCTCCAAGAAGTGGCCCGTGTGTCAGTCTTAGGGAAGCTCCACCCGAAGTTGGAGGCCTTGGAAGGCGCCGAGCTTGTATCTGTGTAAGCGACACCTTTGCCTTCACGGGTCACAGGGCGCGACTCTTCTTCGGCCCCGGGTCTTTCCGTGTCCTCAAGTATGGTTTCTGCCGTAGGTTGGAGGCGAACTGGAGAGCCTGCTTTGTTATCCTGCTCATGGGTGTCTTCCACGGTCAGATCGGGAATGTTGCCAAATGGATCGTCTTCGCTTGCGTTCATACCACTTGGCTCATCCTCTAGTAGGTGCTGTTGTCTGGAAGGGCTCTTCTGACGGACCCAAATATTCTTGTCGCGATCAAAGCTCATTCCGGCTACCTGCTGAGGGATCAAATGCGCGACCGCTTCGGGTGCAAGGGTCGCGACACACTCAGAACGGCGTGATGCATTCGTGACAATTGTGTTTCCAAATGATGAAGCTGTAGATAGAAGCGTGTTATTTCCGCGAGGTTGGGAGCTGGGCCGCTCATCGCTATCGGCCCGGTGCCTATTGGGATTGTCGGTGATCCGGATATCATCTTGCTCAACCACTACGCTCTCGTCTTCCGGTGTGGCAGATCCTCTGAGACGTGATACTCGTATAGAATTCACTGATGAGTTCAAGAACGTATCGTTCTCGTGCTCTTGGTACTTGCGCAGGTGATCCATGATATCAGCATCCATGTGTTGCGTTCTTTGGTCCTGCCAGGAAGACTGCCGACCCTCTTTGCTTGGGGGCCTTTCAAATGTCAACATACTAGAAGGATCATCGTTGACCTCCTCGAGCAGTTGCGTCTCGGCTTCCGTCTCCTCAAGGCTGCCCAGACCGCTAGTTGGTCTGCCCTTGGTACGGATGAAGTCCATGATCTTGAGCGCTTCGTCGAGAAAATCCTGTGTTGTGACAGATCGTTTGCGGTTCTTATCGCGTATGTTGGGCTTTCTCTTCAAGGTAAAAGCGGCAATCTGATTGGCAACCGCCTTTGCTCGATCTCGCTCCGAGTCAGTATCTGACATGATTGACGAGTCTAGGTGTTCGCGGATGGTGTTGAGCTTCGGTGACGACAGGATGAATGCTTCAGTAGCTTCCATAATCTCTGCTTGTATCTCCTCTCTCCTGCGTTGACTAGGCGTAGGGTTCCGAGGTCTCAAAATGTGTCTGCGGGCCAGTGTTTCGGAATCGGCAATCTTCTTCGAAGGGTCTTGGCCAGCTTCCTGTCGTGTACGTCCAACAACGGCTTGTATGGCTGCGTGCGATCGCTGTACTGTGCCATGCTCAGCATCACTAGCCGCATTCTCGTCGTCTTCATCCTCGTCCACCGCGGTTATCGTCCTTCTACGCTTCGGCGTCGGGTTCTTGAAAGGGGATGTCGGACCTCTCTTCCCATCTGCGTATTCGTGCACGATTTCCGAGAAAGATTCCGGCTCTGTCTCAGAGACCTTTCTATGTGGTACGAATTTTGGCCGGCTAGCACTAACATTCCTAGAAGAATTCCTTGTATGGCTTGACAGGTGCCTCTTGGCCTTTGAAGGTTCCACTTTGCCTGGTGATTCGTCGAGCTGGAACTTGAAGGGTGGACGACTGCCAGGGGGTGCGACGTCTGAAGAAGGCGAAGCGTCGGGTGCGCTGTCGTCGTGTGCATCGTAGTCATCGTCGGAACATATCGCCGAATAGTCGCCGGAGTACTCGTATTGGTTCAGTTGACCCTGACCGAAAGACACAACTCTGGAGGGTAGTTGTGACTTATCCTGGTCGGGGTTCTGGAAGCTTTTCTCTTCTACCGAAGTCAATCTCGATTTGTTCGGCGCCGCCTTGGTTGACTCTATCGTGCCCTCCTTAACACTAGAGGCTTTCACGCTGGAAGCCTTCTCGGACTTGTACTCCAACTGACTAAGTCGTCGCTGTATCCGGTTGCTTGTGAATGTGTCGTGGGCATCGAAGAGCTTCAGAGGACTTCCAGAGCCCTTTGCGCGATCCGGGCTGAGGAACTGTTCGCGCCGACGATGTGGAGTCGTTGGGTTGTTGGTCTTCAATGCTGGGGGAGGAGTAGGGTGCTTCGCGGTGGTACTAGACTGGGCCGTGCCAGCACGGCTGCTAGACGGTCGCGCCCCAGCTATTCTTTCTGGCGATGGGCTGAGTGGTTTCCGGTGGAATGATCCGTCTCTAGAATACCCGCCTCTTCGGAGCTCCACGTTGCGATGGACCTCGCCCATGTCTGGGGTACCGGCGGGGAGGCCTTCGGGTAGCGACTCGTCCTGCAGCCTGGCGAAGGACGAATCCTCGCGACTGTGTCCCAGAGCACTCTCCTCGTGCTCAGTCTCGTACTGTTCTGGTGGCGGCGATCCAATCTGGCGTAGGCGGTTGGCAAGCTCAGAGCCTCGGAAGTTGGGAGCAGGCTTGGCGGTCTGGCTGACCTTCATGTTGGCGGTCATGGTGAGATAGACGGGACTGAAGTTCTCGTTCTCGTATTCTATCTGGCCGCTGACGGTTCGAACAGGATCGCTGGGTGGTGGCATGAGGTTTGTGGTGCATTCCGACGATCCCTCTTCGTGTACTGTTCCGTCCTGAGAAGGTCCCTCTTGGTCTGCTTGTTGTTGTTGGTCGTCTTGTTCCGTCTGTTGCGCGTTGGGTCGCGATTTGGGCCATGGCGGCGGGCTCGACGGCAGCGGCACGGCACTGAGGCCCTTCAGCAGCCCGAGCCTGCGCTTTGGCTGGGCAGAGTCGTCTGATGCGCCTGCAGCCGGCCGCTGGAAGATGTTCTCGAGGCCTGTGGGGCCGAACAGGTCGGTCTGGTTGCCGTAGCCGACTTCGCCGTTGACGAGCCTGCGTCTCCACTCGGGCGTGTCCTGGGATCCTGGCTCTTTCGTGGGTGATCTCGCGACCGTGTGGTGCGCTACTGTTCCGAATTGCATGCCAGAGCCCTGCGACATGGAAAAGGACGAATACGAGGCGCGACGCGGGGGCTCGACGTGTGACGCGTTGGGCGACGACGGGGCGGGGGGCACGTTGATGTCGCTGAGGCTGCGCTCGAGGAGGGCATTTCGCTGCTTGGGCGGGCGCAGCTCTTTCGCGATGCTGCGCACCTGGATCTCGGAGAAGGAGCCTGAGGACTGCCGCATGCGGGGAAGGCGGCTGCGGGCTTTGGCCGACGCGCTCTGGGGCGTTTTTGTCGCGGGCGGGCTCTGGGCATTGTGGGCGCCTGTGTCGGGCGAGGGCTGCTCAACCCACTCCTCAGACAGGCCCTCGAGGTAGGCGAGCGTGTTGGCCATGGTGGTGGTGGTGGATGTCTCGCGTAGGCCGGGTGGCCGTGATGTCTCGGGAGGGCGACGCTGAAGATGCGGTGAGAGGGAAACTTGTTGGCGAGTCCCCATGCGCGTCGAAAGAATGCTATGCTAGCGCAAACGGCATTGCTTCTGCAGCGGCGGCTTCAATGGCGCAAGAGTGGTGCTGCAACGCGTCGCCGAGTCGTGCTGACTTGTTTATCGATATCCTCCAGGGCTAGCATCTACTATGACATCTCGTCCCGACTGCACGGCCATAATGGGTGCGCTAACTCGTCATCACCACGGCAACCACATCGATCTCCCGCCTCGCGACAATGCGCCGACGAGGCCTATCCCGATAATCCAGAGCACTAGGCCACCCCAAAAAACGGCTATTCCTTCTCGGCGGCGTAGTAGATCCTCCACAGCTGTCTTGGCGATATCCTTCGCTTGACACCCGAGCTCCTCCAGGCCTTGTTCTATTTACGCCGCGTGGCAGCCACGATACACACACGCCGCCCGAACATGCGATCCTGCCTAGCCCCACCTATTTCTACCACACCGTCACCACTACGCATATAATACTGTCACATGTTGGGACTATACTCGAAGAGGTTGCATGAACAAAAGAGGGCCCTTGGATCGTGCCCTTCAGAGCAATGCCGCTGAGCTTGCATCCTCACTTGAAGCGGGGACTGGACTTTGACGCCTTCCATGTCGACCCCAAAGACCTCATCGAAGAACCACCGGCGGAGTACGAAGACCCTGCGCATAGGGCAGCGAAGCGACGAAGGATCGAGGCGATTGCATCCCGATACCTACGCGGCCGACCGCCCGTCATAATCACAGCCGCGCTCAGAGGGCCGTTCGACAATGGCTGGAAGAACCCGTGGACGAAGCCCATAGTAGAGAAACGGAGGGTATCGGGCAAGAACAATGCAGTAGCGGGCACAAGGAACGCCAATAGCAAGAAGGTCGCTGCCGGTCGCAATAACACTACCAAACGTAGGAGCAGTTCAAGGCTGAATGAAGGCAATGAGAAGGACGTCGTGGAAGATGTTGCGCCCCAGATGGCGTCACCGGAAACATCTAGAGCGGCCAGGGACGAGTTGGACCACCGCGAACACGACGATAGCCTCGACGAAATCGAAGTCCCGCCCGCGACAGCACCCTTACCCGACGATGATGACGCACCCGGTACCGCAGAGCCCTTCAGCACCAACACGAACAATTGCATACAGAACCGCTCCCCTATGACCAACCCCTTCTGGTTGCGCCGCCCTGAGTCTGCAAGAGTCGACATGCGCAAGGCTGCAAATCGAAACACCGACACGTCCCCAACGCGGTCCCGGTCGCGAAATAGCAATTCGCAAACCCAAACCCAAACACTGTCAGAACTACGGCTCAGTCTGCCAAAAGCGCCCATTCAGGCTCAGAGGTCGGCTCCGGAGACACCAGCACAAGAGGAGTGGAGATCAAGCGCCTCGGCTTCCATGGTCATTTCATCGCCAGCCAAGGATGCTGATACACATGGTCAGGCTGGGCCTGAACCAAATGCAAGCCCACCACGTTCGCAACGGACTGTGCCGATCATCACTTCTTCAATGGACAGTCAAGGAAGGCCGACAAGACAAGACATACAACAGTCTGCAGAACGTCTAGGCCGCCAAACACCTGGATTGTCATCAGAAGGACAGCCACAGCGCTCAAGTAGTCGAAGTACGCAGAATGCACCCACGCCTACAGAGCCCCAGCATGATCGTGTGGCATCGCCTTTGCCGGCTTCTTCAGCTGGCAAACCCCGTAGAAAGGCCAAGCTGAAGCCGAGAGCAGTCAATTTCGACTCATCACCAGAGAAGGTTCCCTCTGCCAAGAAAACCTGTGCAGAGGAGGACGTCATTCACAAGGAGGCCGACGATGAGCTGCAGGTGGATCGAACAGAGGTAATTGTGGTCGATGTACAAGCGTCTCCACAAGTCGAAGGAGATGCCAGTGTGATCCAGAATGAAAACTCTGAATTGCGCACGAGTCGGTCTAGTCGAGACTCTGACTGGTCTACACAAGCCGCCATGATGCGAGCTCAGCTTGAGTTCCAGCAAAGTACTTTCCCCATGATGTCCCCGGAGGTTCTCCAATTGGACTCGCAAACCTCACTTCTTGATACACCCCGTCCCATACTAGCCGCAGCCAGTGCAGCCGTTACACCTCTTTCTGCCTTCACGGTCCAGCGAGACGAGCCACTTGCACCCGAGACTATTCTCCAAGCTCCACCGATCAGCACGCAAGACCTCTTCGGCGCAGCGTCTCCGTTCGCATTTAGTACCGTGAAAAAGAAGCCGGAAGAAACGCAAAGAAGCAACTTGAGGTTCGCTTTCAGCCCTAGTGATGGGGTACTGGGAGCTGACGCGGTCGCTAAGAGCCCCACTCCTACTGCTGAGCGGGTCCCGCTGAAGAACAAGGACAACATAACGTCCTTCTGGAGCTTCACCACGGACAAAGCTTCCCAAACATCTCACGGATCCTTTGGTGACAGGTCGAAAGGGGTATTGAATGAAGTCGGATTTCCAGCGCTGAACATCGACACGTCACTTGGCGACTTCGGCCCTACCGGTAGTCTGGATTTCACAGATCGCTTTCTTCGCAATATAGACGACACTTGAATACTATGACAAAGAACCAAGATCATTTCTGCACGCAGCGCACTCCCGGTAGGAGCACCGCGGAAGCATCGGCATGGCTACGTGCTCCAAGTGGCTCTGAGCGCCGTGGCACTTGGATATTGCCAGAGAGAAGCATTCTGTACCGGTATCACAGCGAGGTGCAGCGATAGTCACGTAAGGATGCAGCAGGCGGTGAGAGGCCACGTTCTCGAGTGATTGGCCGTCGACACCTGTCGCCCATGCACAGTCGATGCAAGCAGCAGACCTTGGGGCAGCACGGATTGATATCGGCGAAAGGGGGTGAGGCAATCGCGATGGGACGGTATAGCCGGTACCGCATAGTTTGGATACGGGCCTTTGCACGGCCACGCTGGGGAGGGCGCGGAGGCGGGAGGAAGTCTAGCTTGTGTCACGGTGCTGGGGAAATTGACAGTGGTGTCCAAATAACGTGCAAAGTGAAGCGGCAACGAATCTCAGCGCCCTATCGTGACAGCATGTGTCGTGGGTTGTAGCGTCAACGTTGTGCTGCTAGTGCTGTCCGTGAACCGATATCGTCTGCGTGCACGGGCGCTCCTTCCTCGTCTTCACCAGACAGGAACCCATGACAAGAGCTGGCAGCATTGCGTGCGCAGTTGCCGCCAAGCCCGATTGCCTCTGTCGCTATCAATCAACAAGCCACCTGTTCACTGCCTCCGTACGGCAGCAAAACAAACTCGCGTCCACTCACTGCACTCGGCGTCGCGAAACAACCACCGCCACTCGGACCACCTGCACTGACGCGCTTTGTTACGCGGTAGCAGTCAGGCAGACGTCATTGGGCCGCTCGCTTGGGATAATCTTTGCGCCACTCTGGACTGGACGCCAAACCACACAGAATTAGAACGTGGACCTCTCGCCCTTCTCACTGGTCTCGTCGCTCGCTAGCACCCTGGAACACCGCCTGCAGCCCTCGCATCCGCCAGCGCCTGCTCTGCACGCTAATCTAGAAGATCCGCCCCTGCTGGCCCTCCGCTGTGTCTCCGCCGCGCCCAAACGACCGCATCCTGGCCAACGTCCTGAGCGCCCGCCCGGCAATATCTGCCACCCATCCCGCCACGAGGTGCCTTCCTGACGGTCGAATCAATGTCGAGCCCATGTCACCCCAGCCGGACGCCCAAGGAAATACCTCACCCCCCGCATCGGTGAGGTCGACGGCCAGCCATGGACTGCCCACGCCCGACGCCGAGCACGACCAAGTGACGCCCAAGAGCCTCGCGCAGACGGGCCGTTCACGCACCGCGCCCATTGTCAACGAGAGCAACCTCTGGAAGTCGTCAATTGACCGCCCCCAGCTCGACGAGCGCGACAGCATCTTCGCAACCACGTACCTCGTCTCCGACAGCCCCATCTCCTCCCCGCGGGCCAGCGCACGCAATGTAGATTCTGCCAACGATGCTCCCGAACACAGTCTGGCTGAGATGGCAGCGCCAGCACCTCCCCAGAGGCGATTGATGGATCCGCCCATCATACGCAGGAAGCATTCCACCCTTCCTCCGCCTTCTTCCATCGACCACCAAGCCGTCCTGACTACCCCCTTTAACCCCCGCGCAGCCATTGCAGCCGGCATGACTTTCGACGCCATCCATCACAGTCCTCCGCCCTACATGAGCCCAGTCGACTCGCCCGTACAACACCCCACCACCCCGCCACGTCCCGAGCTCCAATACGAGGCTCTGCTCGAGAGCGAAGAGAGGCGCAGGAACAGGGAGTGGCGCGAAGGGAAGCCTGTGCCATTCAAGGGCAACATGATCTTGGATCAGCCCGTCATGGACGTGGAAATGGAGAAGAAGATTGAAGCAACACTTGCCAAGACCGAACAACCCACTTCCGCACGCAGTCGAAAAGCAAGTCATTATCTGCGCGTATTCAAGGATGGCGATCCTACCGAAGAGCCGAAGAAGAAGGACAACAAGACAAAAGAGCGTCCTTCTGCTGAGAGGACCCTGTCCGCACTTTCAGAAGAAGGCTCAACCGAGACTATCGGCCTCATCGACCAGCTGCGCCGCGCATCACTAGCTTCCTCCGTCGTACAATCACCTCTAGGCGGCCCGACTGATTCATACTTCGATGCGAAAGCGGCGCCTCGCACCGAGTCAGGCGTTGCCTCTCCACCTCCCAACGGAAGCACGCGACCAGACGCAAGTTCTCAGGACAAGCACAAATTCCCACGGCGTCTTCTCGAGGACATTCGCGGCTTCGGCAACCTGACTCCTGGTGCGGACCCACGGTCTTCGTTCTCTCGCAGTCTACCCACATCAGCGGTCGAAAAGGTTCACGCGCATGCACCAACTAATGGAGCGACACCTTATGACGAGCCGTCCGATTACTTTCAGGTTAAAGACGGAGGCGATAAAGAACGTACGCCAGGCTCGGAGGAGGATGAAGAATCGGAAAAAGAACAGATCTCTTCGGCTCTCTACTTTCCCCATCGCCGGCTTAAGACAAGTGAGCAGGTGCCTACAGAACCACAGAACCGAGATAGAGAGGTGAATGCTGTCGATAAGCGGGCTTCAACTCACGAGGTTGCGGGGCCGAAAGGGTGGGCCACAGAGAAGGATGTTCAAACTCCACAAGAAGTAGAAATTTCTCTAAAGGCCCAAGATACCAATCAATGCCTTCATGGTGATATCTCCACGGCGACTTCCTTGAAGAAAGATAAAGAGCAGCCGCTGACCGCTCCCGATGCGCTCTCAGCTGAATCTGAGTCTGAGTCGCACGCCGAGTCTACTCAATCAAATCTTGGTTATGAATCCAGTGCGACTGATGAACTAGGAACGACGCCCACTGCGACTTCGCACAAACAGGAAGCTAAGGCTGCTGCGCCTCAGGTGGCTCAGCCGCCGGCCCCACTGGGTGCTGTGGAGCTGAAGCCATACGATCACCAAGTTGGCGGTCATTCTACTGTTTACCGTTTTTCCAGGCGAGCAGTATGCAAACAGCTGAACAATCGAGAGAATGAGTTTTACGAAACAGTGGAGCGGCAGCATCCTGAGCTGTTGGAATTCTTGCCAAGGTACGACCTCTCCCCGCTATTGATCGAGGCTGAGACATCAGCGAAGATCATTGCCTTCGCCTCGGTTCTTGATTAGGATATTTGCTAACATTGACATCTAGATACATCGGCGTGTTAAACGTGACCTACCGAAAAGCCCCCAAGAAGAAGAAGGTTGCCAAAGACAAAGCGAAATCTGATGCTGCTCCCACTGCTTCAGCGACGCAGTCGGAAAGCGCGTCAAGACAGGCTTCAAAGGCTCCCGAAGACCGGGGCAATGTGGAACAACCTCGAGTGGTCAGCCACTCGCAGCAGATTATGCCCATCCCCCAGGTCATCTTTGAGAACAACAGGCACATAATCCCAGACAATCTGTTCCGCGTGCCACCACGCTCCACCACCCCGGATCCATGGATGCGCAATGCTTCCCTGCTGCAACAACAACATCGACGAAACCAAAGTGACTATGGTCACATTTCTACGAGCCCGAGTCGGCCCCCATTGCAGCATGCTAGCAGTTGGGGTGTGACGACGATCAACAGAAAGCTACAGGAGGAGGTACTCCGGCAGGTTTTTGCGCCGCCAACTATTCATCATCGGCCACGCCATCATCATCACGGAATCTCAGCTCGTAAGGCGGGAGGAGACGTTCCGCAGAACGTGGCTGGCTCTGCACCTACGATAAGGAGGAACAGCACAGATGTAGCTGGATTGCATCCACCACTCACAGAAGAGTCCACACGGAAACAAGTTCTGAAAGCTGAAGCGCACCGCTTTGCCTCGGAAAGGAGCGCTGATGCTTCCGTTTCCAGCTCCCTTGGCCAGCCAGACACCACTGCCGATGCCCTGAAGCCACCATCGAACAACATTCCCCGCCGTCGTCATTCTGGCAGTGGACTCACTAGAAGACCCTTGGGGATAGATACTGTCCAGAGACATAACCTGGAATACTACGAAGAGGATGGCTACGGTGGTGACGCAGAGGAGGAAGTATTTGCTATGGACGAGGATCGCAATGCCATGTCAGACGCAAAAGATCAGCACCGAGGCCGATCTGTGCAGACATCTGGCGCAACAAATGGGTTCCATTCCCAGAATCCACCAGAGGGCACTATGCTACCAGCCCCTGCCGCACCAAATGGCAACGGCGCCCCACTGGGCGAGGAGCCTTCTAATCCCGAAGAAGCGCAGCAACAACCCGACGAGCGCGTTCAGCACTTCATCCTTCTGGAAGACCTTACCGCAGGCATGTCCAGGCCTTGTGTCTTGGACTTGAAAATGGGCACGCGGCAGTATGGAGTCGAAGCCGATGAGAAGAAACAAAAGTCTCAAAGACGCAAGTGTAAGATGACAACGAGTGCCCAGCTCGGCGTACGTGTTTGCGGCATGCAGATCTGGAACGCCAAAACCCAAAGCTACATCTTTGAAGACAAGTACTTTGGCCGCGACTTAAAGGCTGGCAGAGAGTTCCAGGATGCGCTGAAGCGCTTTTTCTGGGATGGGACAAGTTACAAAGCAGCGACAAGACATATTCCTGTCATACTTGAGAAGATCAGTCAGCTGGAACGCATGATACGGAATCTTCCAGGCTACCGATTCTACGCAAGCAGCTTGCTGATGCTCTACGATCGTGGGGATGGAGAGTCGAAGGAAAAAGATGCGCAACCCTCTTTGCCCAACGGTCTATCGAACCCGAGCACCGAAGACGTTTCAGTAATGCCATCTGGACCCACATCACCTGGCCCGACAACCGCATCTAAGCCGGCACCTAAGCATCTCCCAGAGATTAAGCTCAAGATTGTCGATTTCGCCAACTGTGTCACCGCAGAAGATCCGCTACCTGACGACTTACCTTGCCCACCCCAGAACCCGGATGGCATTGATAGAGGCTACCTTCGAGGTCTACGATCGCTGCGCCTCTACTTCCAGCGCATCTGGCACGACATCAACGAAGAGTGGGTTGAACGAGGCGAGGGCGAAGGTATGGCACGCAACCACCACCACGGCCCTGGCCTAGGTGAAGTTGGCGCGGGCTGGATGGACGATGCCGGTGGCGAAGACACGGGCTATGCCAGCTTCTAAAAAGGAGCACAAGCAAAGAACAGCGGAGCAGAAGGAGAAGGAGAAGAAGAAGTTGGCCCCGCAGACACGTCTTTTCTCTAATTTCTTTTTGAACTGGCGTTTTGAATTTTCATCGGCTCCAGGGACGCAAGCATGGCGTTTGGGCGCAATCACGGAAAGACAAAGGTAATGAAATTGGTAACTACTCTGGCATGCATCGGCGCATAGCATTTATGGGCGGCAAATCCTTTGCGTTGTCATTTTTCTTTTCTGGGATTTTATCAGGATGGGGTGGGTCTGTGTTTTGGAGTCCGGTTGGGGTTTCTTGTATACTATCATGGAAAGAGTAGGGTAGCGCTAGCCTCATTAATGCAGCATTTTGAACATGGTTTACGTTATTCTCACATTAACAATAATCACCTCGTGATTGGCATAGCAGAACTCACGGTTCTACATGCCTTCCGAGACAATCTCTCCAAAAACAGCCACACCCTTCCTCCCCAACGCCGTCCCCACACCCACAGCTCCAGCCCCTACGCTCCTCATCCGCTCAAACCCAACCTTATCCTCCACACCGCCCACCCCTATAACCACAATCCCCTTCACCTCCTCAGACGCAGACTGATCCAGCAACCGTCGCAACGTAGCCACATTACCCAACGCAAGGGGATGCAACGGCGCGCCTGCCAGCCCACCTATCCCGGTGCCGTTTGCAGAGTTCAAAGCCGGTATTGCACGTTCGCTATCTGAGAGGAGTAAACTCGAACCCAGTGTGTTTACGGCTGTGATGAAAGATATTGGTGTAGGTAGGTAAACGGGCTTCATGCTGTTCTCCCCACTTTCCGCCAACACACCAACCAACCCCTCGAACTGCTCGCTGTACGTGTACGGCGGGATTTTGATGCCCACGGGGATTTGCGTTACGCCCCCGCTCTTCGTCAGGCCTACATCAATCGCCATCTTGAGCGCAGCCAAGTATTCGCGGAGAGCAGCGGTGTTGTACGCTGGCGGCGTTTTTCCGGGGATGTTGGGGCAGGAGAGGTTGATTTCCATGGCTAGTGGCATTTTAACATCGGACTGCGCGGTGCAGATGAGGCTGTAGCATTGTGCTATCTCTTCTGCAGAGCCGGTTACGGAAATGATTACCGGCTTGTAGGTCGCGGAAACGATTATTACAGGACTAGAGGTCTCGTTTCCGTTTGGAGGTACGGAGCCCATCCTCTTACTAATCGTCTTCACATATTCTAGATACTCGGCCAGCGGAATCGGTGAGTATCCCAATGTGTTCAAACTCCCTGTCGTGCTAGCATCGCCGCCGAGGTCTTTGTTCGGCGTGCTGGTTGCGTGCGTTGAGGGGTTGAAGAAGGTGAATTGGTGGTGAGCAGGATCGTGTGGGAAGCCGTTCAGGAGGGATGTACGCGTTGTGATGGCGCCTGTGTGGGGACTGTCGTAGAGTTCCTGGAGTTGCTCAAGGGTTGTGCACCATGGGTTTGCGGAGTTGAGGAGGGGTGGGGTGATGGGTGGGAGGGGCATTGTTGCGGTTTGTGTGACAGTGATATTGGTGGTGGTATGGAAGGGGGATATAGGCGAAGGGGAGATGTGTCGTCTTGGGGGTTTTGTTCTGAGAGTGGGGTGGGGATGATAAGCTTTCTCTTGTCTCGGGCTTTCTGTAGCTTGAGATAGGGCGGATGATCTGTGACTCATTTAGAAGGTAAGTCAATCTAAAAGAGCTTCCTAGATAGGTAGTTCGATATCCTCGGAAACGTATCAGGTTTCAGCACTTCACGAATCAGAAAACTTGTTATGATTCTTTACATTCATTCATTCAGATTCTCCATGATTACTTGAACTATACACAGTACTCACTCGAACCCATCTCCATCGCCCGCTTAACCGAACAGCACATCACCAAGACGAATGGAAACAGTCTTAGTCTGGATGTAGTTGTCCAGCGCCGCCTCACCCAACTCGCGGCCAATACCACTCTCCTTGTAACCACCTGTAGATAAGAAGTCAGTATATGTCTCACATGCGCATCGTACAGCCAGAACTTACCGAATGGCAGCTGCCAGTGAAGAGTGTTGTAAGAGTTGACCCAGACAGTTCCAGCGCGGAGCGCGTTGGCAACCTCGATGGCAGTGGTGAGGTTGGAGGTGTGGACTGCGGCGGCAAGACCGTAGGTGGTGTTGTTGCCGATCTTGATGACGTCGGCCTTTGTCTTGAACTTGGAGATTGTGCAGACGGGACCGAAGATTTCTTCTTGTTGGATCTTCATGTCCTCGGTTACGTTGGAGAAGATGGTGGGCTCGATGAAGTAGCCCTTGTCGCCGTGGCGGTTGCCGCCGGTCTCGACGGTTGCGCCCGACTTCTTACCCTCCTCGATGTAGCTAGAATTTGTATTAGCATTGGCTCCAGTTTAAGAAGGACATGACATTGCTCACCCCATGATACGGTCGAATTGGAGCTTCGAGACCTGAGGTCCCTGGAAGGTGTCCTTGGCGAATGGGTCACCGACAGCGTTCTGGGCGGCCCTCTCCTTAAAGCGGGCAATGAACTTGTCGTAAATCTCTTCTTGGACGTAGATACGCGATCCAGCGCAGCAAGCCTGTCCGTGGTTGAAGTAGATACCGAAGTTGACCCAGTGGATGGCCTCATCGAGATCGGCATCGGCGAAAACGATGTTGGGGCTCTTGCCTCCAAGCTCAAGAGTGACCTTCTTCAAGTTGGAGCCAGCAGCGGCCTTCATGATTTGACGACCGACAACGGTTGAACCGGTGAAGGCAACCTTGTCGACATCCATGTGGGCGGAGATGGCGGCACCAGCGACCTTTCCGAAACCAGTGATGACGTTGATGACACCTGGTGGGAAACCGGCCTCTTGGATGAGCTTGCAAGCTACGTATGCGGAGAGAGGAGTCTGCTCAGCTGTCTTGATGACAACTGTGTTACCAGTGGCGATGGCGGGACCAATCTTCCATGACCACATGAGAATGGGGAAGTTCCATGGGATAATTTGTCCGCAAACACCAATCTGAAATTGTTAGTCACGGGACATGAACTCGGCAAAATGTGAAACTTACGGGCTCCTTGCGGATGTAGTTGAAGCTGTCGGGTGCTGTGTCGACGACCTTGCCCTCAATCTTGTCGGCCCATCCTCCGTAGTACCTCAAGCAACCAGCGGCGGCAGGGATATCGACGTTCCTGGCCATGCTGAAGGCCTTACCGTTGTCGAGAGCCTCGACCGAGGCGAGAAGATCGGCGTTCTTCTCAAAGAGGTCGGCGAGCTTGACAAGCAGCTTTCCTCGGTTCTCTGGTGTTTCCTTCCGCCATGGGCCGTTGAAGGCCTTGCGTGCGGCAGCGACAGCGATGTCAACATCCTTCTCGGTGGCCTCGGCAACATTGCAGATGACCTCCTCAGTGGAAGGGTTGATGACCTCAAAGGTCTTGCCGTCAACGGCCTTTACGAACTCATTGTTGATGAAGCTGGTTGATGTCAGTATTGACGATACCGAAGCATTACAAAGTCTCCGAAGAATATCGGAGACTGGATATCTAACTTACAGTCCGGTGGGCTGCTCGTACTCGCCCGTTTGGGGGGTTGTTAGCTTTACGGATGTCATTGCGAAAGCGAATTGGGGTATATGGACAAAACAAAGCTGTGAAGTGAAGGAGGGGTAGAGGCACAAGCAAATCCTTAAGTACTTTCAGGAGCTCCGCATGACGACACTAGAGGTTATCTCCACTCGAGACAGGACAACAGTACGATCGCCCAGACAGCCTCGGCCATCAGGAGCCAGTCTCAGGAAAGCGCTGCAGCCTATTGCGTGTCTCGACGATGCATGGCCGGGTGGCGCTTGATGCAACGGCGGAAGCTCTTGCCCCGCTTTCGTAGCCAGTGGTAAGCTACCCCTCCCCCGCAGTTCTGCTCTGGAGGTCGTCGAAGCCGCAGCTAACCCTGCTACACGCGGTACTGGATTCTCCAATTTGGAATAGACACCTATTGGCAACTGATGCGCATCCGCAAAAGGCATTTCTCCACTTGCGGCGCGTGGTCATCTCGATACAGCATCTTTCTGTAACGCATACCGCAGGACTAAGCTCGGAGCTCTAGACACGTATCCAAGCAAAACATACCCACCATCGGAGCCACTACGCTAAAGCCGAAGGGGCAGCCCTACGGACCATATCGTCGTACCCCCAGCTAGCTCGGCCCTTTTTCGAGCGAGCACCGGTATGGCGAGGATAACACTGATCCACAACCCCGAGCTAGAGTAATCGCTGTATGCACGTGGGCGACCTGGATTGCAAACATTGAGAGCGCAAGATACTCAGCTCATCCGGTCCGTCAGCTGCATCGGATGAACGCTCCTTTCACCCAGCCAAATCCTAGTCAGAGGCTAGAGTCCTGGTAGCCGCGGGCCTCCACACCACCTAGTAAATCGCGGGGAAGGTGCGACAAAATTTGAACTAATGACGTTGGCGTGAGAACTTCGCACGAAAGGGTACTGCGGCGCGAATAGGAGCATGCAAGGACCGAATAGCTGTCAACCGGAGAGCACTACACATGAGCAGATAGTGGTGTGATCCGGGCTGCTGGGAAGCGCCAACCCGGTCAACACGAGTAGAGTTCACATTTTGTTGTTGCGGAGTCCTCCGGGGAGAAAAGCACGGAGCGATTCCGCTGTACCGAGTCGTACTGTCTAGCAAGCTTTCTAAGCCTCGCTGATCTTCTATATGATCGTCTCTCTGCAGCATGTCATTGCCGTCTTTGGTTCGTGCAAGCCTCAGCATTGCCATGGCCACGCTCTAGGAATGTGGCAGCTCTTCATTTCGGCGTGTTTCAGCCAACACGCTGGTCGGGTTCCGTCCACGATATCAAGAGAGCCGGGAGGTCGGGGTATGTGAACAGTCGAATAAGGGTACCTCACAATGGATGAGTCGACGAGATAAGTTTTCATGATCATGTTTCCGATTCATAGCCATTCTGATTGAAGCTACCAAATACCCGGCGTGCAATTTAGAAGCCGTGAATAAACGTCCATGAATAGTGTACAAGAGCCGAATTGTGTCCGATGCTGACGTTCCGTTGGCAGCAGTAGACGTTCGTTATAACGCAGTTTCCGAAAAGATGACGCCTCCAAGAAAAGAAAGATTGAAGCAGACCGACTAGCTAAGGGTCGAACCGATTCCGTTGGATGTTGGATTAAACCGTGACAAGTTAAGTGAGTGGAAAGCGTCTCAAAGCGAAAGAAGCTCAGAGCATCTCGTCGTCCATAGCAGTGTCACCGCCGGCGGTGATTTGTGCAACCTCAGCGCCACCGGCAGCAGCAGTGGTTTCGCTACCAGGGAAGTAGTCGGCCATCTCGGCATCGAGCTCCTCGACGGTCTTCTTCTTGGGGCGGGCTTCGCGACCACCACGGCCCTTTCCTTTGCCACGGGTCTGGCCACGTCCACGAGCGGCACCGGGAGCAGCCTTCTCAGCGGTGGCCGGCTTCGGCTTGTCCTTCTTCGGCTGACTGAAAGCTTGTTAGTTGCTGGTTACACTGCAAGGAATCTTTGGTACGTACGTTACACGATCAGCGAGCGAAGATGGGCGAGTGGCGGCGGGAAGGGCGGCGGCGCTGACGAGCATCTCGACGCGAACAGGGCGGCCGTCAATCTTGACGCCATTGAGGTGGGAGGTGGCCTTGGCGGCTTGGTCATGCTTGGTGAAGATGACGGTAGCGCTGCCAACGCTGCGGCCCTGGGCATCGTACTGGAGAAGAACCTTCTTCGGGCGACCTACACCAACAGCATTCACAAAGTAGTCCTATGAGGCGTATTAGTCGTCGTACCAGGGTAGTTTTCACGCGCGTAAAGCAAGATCGACAATGAGGTTCCGGCGTCGGCGGTGGGTCGTCGTCGATTCCATATACTCGGTCAGAAGGTACCGCTCAGAAAGTGGGTGTCCTGGTCAGATTTCAATGACCTTAAGTTCTGAGACGAAGCAAACTCAGCGCGAGAGCAGTTGTTGCGAGTAACGTATTGAAACGCTGCGAACCAATCTTTTAGTGTCTGCCCACACCCATCTGTAAGCCAAAAGGCTATCCGAACGGATTGGTTTCGCATCTCGCTGCTCTGTATCGGGCTAGAGTCGCTGCAAGGCTACCGGGAATATCACCGGTGCGCTGCCGTCTGTGCTGACACAGTGAAGTGGAGCATGTTGACTTGGATCACCCACTTTCGTCGCGGCGGTACCTCGGAATGTTCGCATGCTGCTAGTCTTCTTCCTGTCTTGTGTGCCCAACACAGATCTTGGAGTGACTTTGGGCAAGCTATGGCTCAACATCCATACCGGTGCGGAGGAGGAAGTCTCGTTTCGTCGGATCGAGTTCGTTCATGCTTGCAAAAGCGAAGCTGCAGTAGGCTCAAAGACCTGCATCGGTCTTACATACCTGGAGTTGGGAGTTGTCAATGTCCCGTGGCTGCGACATGTTAGTGATGGTTTGGGTGTGGTTGTGAGGCTGAACATACCAAGTTGGATACCATGATCTTGGTCTCGCCGCCGCCGAAAGAAGCGGCGGGAGCAGTGGGCGCAGGCTTCGATTGCTTGTTGCCTTGCTTGGTCGACTTGGCGACACCGCCTACAGGGGCGGAAGCAGCGGCCGGTCGTCCAGCGCCAGAGCGGCGAGCGCCACGGCCACGGCGGGAGGTCTTGGAAGCCTTGAGGATGTCGTCGAGGCTCTGCTCCATCTTGTTTGAAGACATGATGAGTGGTTGAGGGATGGTAATACTTGGGTAAGCGGGCGTTGATGGAAAGGCGCGCTCGTGTCGAGTGGGCGACGTAGATGCAGACAAGTAGCGAAGGCTGAAAGTCTCTTTTATGGAGGCGCGACTGAACCGGTGAGGCCTGAAGACAAAGGGGCGCGCTGTTCGATGACAGGGCGCGTCGCAGGAGGTGAGACTCGTGAAAGGAGAGTCAAAGTGGGCTTGCGCGAATGTAGAGTGAGTTGCGCGGGTTGTGGTAGCTGCTGTTGATGAAGAGCAGATGGGTGTGGGAGTATTATGTGGGAGGAGTGTGAGAGTGGAATGAAGAAAAGGGAGAGCGCGAGGCAGCACTCAAGAACAGAGGGACGCGCCAAGACCCGACACTGCCACGCACTGCCGCCTGGTGATTGGCGGACCGTGCACGGACGCACTTGCCCGCAGCTTCCATGGGAGTCGCGAATAGCGATAGCTCCTGCCATTCAGGCAGTAGGCGATGACAATGGAGCAATAGCAGTATGGCAGTCACTCCGGTGCGTATTGGCTCACCCACATTCTGCTTCACAACATGTCCAGGCTAATGCGCGAACAGTGGCAGTTCAAGTTCTTCGACGTCTCCCAAGTCAAGCTCCCCGACGACGAGAGCTCCTTCCTGTCCGAGGTATGACGATACCTCCTCCGCGCATGCACACTCTCATAAATTCCATTAGATCGGGAACATCACGTGCATAGTATCCGGGTCAGAGAGCATCTTCCTCGGCAGCGCAGATGGCATCGTCCGCATCGTGTCGCAGGCCTTCAAGGTCGTGCGCGCATTCAAGGCCCATGACGCAGGCGCCATCACCCACATGAAGCAGGTCGAAGGCACCTCGCTTCTCGTGACCATTGCTGAAGACCTTTCTGGGGAGCCAGTACTGAAAGTATGGGCTTTGGACAAGCTGGAAAAGAAGACGGGCATTCCGCGATGTCAGAGCACCCTCACCGTCCACAACGGGCGCAAGCAGTTCCCCATATCCGCTTTCGCAGCGCTCGATGACCTATCACAACTCGCAGTTGGATTCGCCAACGGTGCCGTCACTGTCGTTCGAGGTGACCTCATACACGACCGCGGCGCGCGACAACGGACGGTATTCGAGTCGGAAGAGCCCATCACAGGCATCGAGTTCAGAGAAGGGAGCATCACGACCTTGTATATCGCAACGACCGGACGTATAATGACACTTGTAATATCTGGAAGAGGGCAAGGACAGCCGGCCAAATCGCTTGACGAGTATGGCTGCGGTGTGGGTTGCATGGCGGTGGATAAGGCGTCGCGGGACGTTGTCGTCGCACGAAACGATGCCATATACTACTACGGCCAACATGGCCGCGGGCCACCGTACACATATGAGGGCGAGAAGAAGATGATCTCCGTATTCAAGGACTATGTCGCGATAGTCGCACCCCCCAAATCAAATGCGATGCCTCGGTCGAACCCTCTCCGTGCTTTCGGCGTCGGTGCCGCCGACGACGTCTTCAACACTTCGAGCTTCACCCTGCTCAACACAGAGCTGAGGTTTGTCGCACATCAGGAACAGTTGACTTCGCAAGTGAAGGCCGTCATCTCCGAATGGGGCGACCTATTCGTCTTTACGATCGACGGCAAGATATTCAGATACCATGAGAAGCCCTTCGCTCAAAAACTCGACATACTGTACCAGCGCAATCTATACGTTCTGGCCATCAACTTGGCCCAGAAGGCCGGATTAGACTCGTCACAACAGAACATCATCCTTCGGAAGTTTGGTGATTACTTGTATTCGAAGCAAGATTACGATACAGCTATGCAGCAGTATCTGAAGGCTATCGATAACACGGAACCATCTCAGGTCATCCGGAAGGTATGTAATGATGCGATCGCGATACAATCAATGCTAACATCTCGCAGTTCCTTGATACGCAACGGATACATAACTTGATTGAGTACCTCGAGGAGCTCCACGACCACCACAAAGCCACGTCAGATCATACAACGCTCCTGTTGAACTGCTATGCAAAGTTGAAGGATGTGGAGAAGCTTGAAGAGTTCATCAAGTCACCGGACGATCTGAAGTTCGACCTCGATACGGCCATTTTGATGTGTCGACAGGGCGGTTACTATGACCAAGCGGCCTTCCTTGCTCGGAAACACGGTGAGCATGAGTTGGTCGTCGATGTACTGATCGAAGATTCGAAACGATACGCCGAAGCTCTGGCCTACATATGGCGACTGGAGCCAGAGGTGGCCTACTTCAACCTCATGAAGTACGCGACAGTACTGCTGCAGCACCTTCCCAAAGATACGACGCAGTTGTTCATCGACTATTACACTGGAACATTCCGACCCAAGCAAGATGCTATAGTCATACCCAATACGCCTGCCACAGGAGGAGGCGGTGGTATGAGTATGGGTCTCGGAGTAGCTTCTAGCGCTGTACAAAACCTTGCTGCACTACTTCCACTGCCATACATGAACACCAACGCGTTGGCATCGCCTCCAAGTGGTGAACAGAAGAGTACCATGAGCCAAGCCCAGATCGTTGAGACGACCTCAGATGAGCCCGCTCCAGAGTACAAAGTACCGAAACCGCGAACTGCGTTTTCCGCGTTTGTTGATCACCCTCAAGAGCTTGTAGTCTTCCTCGAGGCCTGCATCGCATCCGATGATCTCCGCGAAGATGACAAGGTCGATCTTTACACCACTTTGTTCGAGATGTACCTACACACTGCATCGTCGAAGAAGGATGGCGAGCGACAAGAGTGGGAGAACAAGGCCAAAAAGCTTGTCGAAGGCAAGGACATACCCATAGATACGTCCAACGTACTGCTACTCTCCCACCTGTCGAACTTCCGCGACGGTGCGATCCTAGTTCGCGAACAGCAAGGTCTCCACTTCGACATCTTCCGCTCCTACACGGCCGCCAACGACACACAAGGCGCCATCCGCGCACTTCGGAAGTACGGTCCCCTGGAACCAGCGCTTTACCCTGCGGCGCTTGCCTACTTCACCTCCACGCCCTCCATCCTTGCCGAAGCCGGCGACGAGCTCGACTCGGTCTTGAAGAAGATCGACGAAGACGGCCTCATGGCGCCCCTCCAAGTAATCCAAACTCTCTCCACCAACGGCGTAGCAACTATGGGCATGATAAAAGCCTACCTCAGCACCACCATCGAGCGCGAGCGCGCCGAAATCGCCGCTAACCGCCGCAACATCGAGACCTTCCGCGCCGACACTTCGACCAAGAAAACCGAGCTGGAAAATCTCAACACCAAGCCCGCAGTGTTCCAAAACTCACGCTGTCAAGTCTGCATGAAGAGTCTCGAGTTGCCTGTTGTGCACTTCTTGTGCAAGCACAGTTACCACCAGAGTTGTTTGAGTACGGATGAAGATGTGCATGATGCGGAGGTGGAGTGTCCGATTTGTAGTTCGAGTAATGCGACGGTCAAGGCGATTAGGAGGGCGCAGGTGGAGAGCGCGGAGAGGCATGATCTTTTCCAGGATGCGCTTAAGAGGGGGAGGGATGGGTTTGCGGTTATTAGTGAGTGGTTTGGGAGGGGCGTTATGGGGGTTGGTGGTGCGGACTAGGAGAATGGGGTATATATAGGCATAGTGGGCGTTGTCATAGAGTTGCAGAAGACACAGATGGAAGACATTGTAATTTATCCATGTGTCTTCGTTTACGCGTCCATCGCATCGTATCCCTCATCATGTAGCTATCTTGAACAGCAAATCCTTCAGCTCACGCGCCACTTCGTATCAACGAATATAGCGTTGGACTCAAAAGGCCTTACGCTGTCCTCGCTACTCTTACCCTCCACTGGCGTCCTAGGCGACCCCGAAGAAACCTCAACTGAATTTCCGACCCCCTTATACGTTTCCAATGGCACCTCGTCGTCATCCGCCAGCTTGTTTCCTCTGATCGAGTACCGTATTTTACTCTGGCGTTGAAGTCCCGAGTTCCCCGTTGCCCCTCTCGTCCCGTTATTTAGAACATGTTTGAACAGTGGTTTGAGCGAAGGCAACGACGCGACGATGATGCCGACGTAGTATTCGATGGATCGCCACATCGTGAAGGTATCAAGTACGTAGACGTCGGGGTCCATGAGAGCGGTCTTCTGCTTTTCGGATTTGATGATGGCGGCGACGCCGGCGAAGAGACCGAGGGCTAGGATGCAGACCAAGGTGATTTTTGTACGGCCATTGAGTTGGAGTTGCCACACGAGCGGGATTGGGAGGAGGGCTAGGAGGAAGTCTGTGCTGATTGTGACGGCTAGATGGGGTGAGTAGATGGCGTTGGAAGGAGGAGCTTGACTCACCTGTGTTCATCATTCCTATGGAGGTGAAGGTTGCCCTGCTGAAGCATACGGCTGTACCTGTGCCAAATGGAGGTGGGCGAAGTCGCAAATCCCATGCAGCCGCCACGGGGATGCACTGCCAGATCTGGGCAAGGTCAGTCGAGGTCTCGGATGATCATCACCATGTATGCTGAGGACATAGGGGAAACGCACTATGAAGTGTTAGTAATGGACCGATTGTCACCATCTCGTAGTCACATACCTAGTGTTCCAATACAGGCCGTGGTAAACAAAGCCATGAAAACAATGAACCCCCTTAGGAACCATATGTACGCCTTCCTCGTTACCAAACGCAACAGAAAGCAGGCGATAGAAATCTTGACCAGACCAACTCCAATGCCGACGAGAATCGATTGCACTTGGCGCAGTCTGAGCAGCTGCCGTTCACCGTCTGCATCCATCCGCAAAACCGAGACGTGTTTCCCTAAGCCCACTTTAGTCTGCTCAGCATACACGACAAACTCTGCTATCGCGAAAGCAAAAGCAAGTAGCATGATCCAGTCGTCTTTGCCGAAGCTTCTCAGCATTATAACTCGAACGTAGCATCTTAGCAAGACGATTAGGGCCGTGACTCCAAATAGGATGCCGGCTTGAAGTAGTAGAGTGGGAGCGTTGGTGAAGGCAAGGTAATCAGGATTGTGTAAATCGGGGTTTGCATCCGCCGGATTTGTACCTGACATGATGGCTGTAAGAAGAACGATGGCAAAGCGGCAGTGAAGAAGACAAACGACAATTATGCAATATGCAATGCGTTGCGAGGAGTTTTGTATTCATCCCACTCTTATTGCAAAACGCCATCATGTTGCGGCACGGCAACAAACAAGAGACTCATCAATCTCTCTTGCTGAAACCTGACAGTGTAGCAAATCCCTCGGTCTCCTTCTGTCTGTACGGCCGTGCCGGTAGACTTGGCTTCGAGGATGAGCTCGCGTGGAGGGATTCGAAGCGACATGCCCAGATTTCGGGGAAGTATGGCTCTAAGGCACATCAGGTCCCTGTCACGTTGGAGTCACTAATGTGCTGATGTGATTATGCATGGGCTGTTGCATGCCTCGACTCGACTATTGGAGAGATAACTCGATCCTGCCAGATCCTAAAAACGACGGACCAGGCTCTTGGGAAGTATCGTTCGACGTAAGCAACGAACACGGTTCGGAGCGAGTTGTTCCACCGCGGATCCTCTACGTTACATTCTAGACCTCCAGTCGCGTGCAGCAGGGTTGCGGCGTGGTTGCAAAGCGAGACTATCAGCTTTTCCGCGTTCACATACAAAACAAGACAAATTCAAGGCAAGCGAAAGACACGAGAAGACAGTTGAAATAACTTCGAGGCCTACTGATGGTGTACGGAATAAGAGACTACGCAGGAAACCCTACACTTCCAAGGTTGGCGGGCATGGTATTCGAGGTTAGTGGTTGCATCGGATATAGTACGAGCAGATGAGGCGAAATCCTACGAGGAATTTGTGATCAAGCGCGAATGGAAGCGAGGCAATGGAACGTTCAGCGGTGAAAGGAGGTGCGGAGACGAACATGCGGCTCGCTGCCCCGAGCCGCCGTGGCGTGCTTGGCAATGCCCGCACGCGGGGCACGGACGCGGATGCGGGTCGAAGTAGTCGCCCCCGCGGACTATCCCATCTCTCATCAACTTCCATATGACAGTTGATCGCGGTATTGTGAACTGTGATTCCGCCTTCTTCGACTTTATCGCTTTGTATTCCACACTATATATATAGAAAAACCCCCGGGCTCGCCGAACGGATCTCGTCTGCGCAACACCCATGGATCTCAAGCGTCACATCAATACCACAAATGGTACTTGCGGGTACATCAAGTTAGCGGCAGAAGAAGAGGGTGCCCCACCGGAAGATTGATTTGATTTTGCGCAAGGGATGAAGAAGGGTCGCTCACGTTGCTCAACCGGTTTGCCGGATGTTGGAGAAATCCGACTGCGTCTCGTTGAGTTAATGTACCGAGATTCCATCCACTCATCTGCAAAGTCTCGCGCCACTGATCCTACGAGGCTTCATCTAAGCATCTAGATTGTTAAATTGCGGCGCAGTATGGTAAAGTAGATCCCGCCATGTCAGGTCCTGCATCGGCACTGCGTTTTGCTCGCTTCGCGAACACGTTGACTTGCAGGGGATGTAAAAGCCGAGAGCACCGATGTGCAGCGAGCGACAGCTATATATGGAGACAAACATTGTCCAAAAGGCTTCAGACGCACCAGGATAATTTCCTTCTTAAGCCTTCCGTCAATTGATATCTCAGCCGCCGACAGAAGCACAAGTGCGCGGTCAACACCAGCCTTTTTACCAAAATGCGTCTACTCGATTTCGCGGCTCTGGCGCTTGTCAGTGGTACCGGTGCGTTCAAAGTCACAGAGCACGACAAATTGGCAGCTCTTGGGCTTGCCAACGTTGGGATCGATGTAGCAAAGAATGGCTACCCAAATCCCGGCCAGTGCACACTGAAGAACGTAGCTGTTCGACGCGAGTGGTACGTACCTATCCAATGCTGTACCCAATACTACATTCGATTGACTAGTAGCTCTTTAGGTCAATGCTTTCGAAGCCCGAGAGGCGGAACTACATTGATGCCATCAAGTGTTTACACTCAAAGCCTTCTCTTACCCCTGCTTCCGTCGCTCCTGGAGCAAGGAGCCGCTTCGACGACTTTGTTGTGACACATGTCTTGCAGACATACTCTGTACATGCAACTGTACGTCTTCACAGCGGAGCACCACGTTGATCTCAACAAATGAGTTCGATTAACGAGACGCCACAACAGCGCCCGGGACGACATGAGCTAACTTTATCAGGCAAACTTCCTATCATGGCACCGATATTACATTTATGCCTATGAGCAATTGCTGCGCAACGAATGTGGTTACAAGGGCTACCTACCATACTACAACTGGGCATGGTGGCACGAAGACCCAGCATCATCTCCCCTTTTCGACGGCAGTGATACCAGTATATCTAATGCTGGAGCCTACATCCCCGACAGGAACTACACATGCATTCCATCTGAAGCACAGGGATGTCCTATCAAGCTCCCGCCCGGAAGTGGCGGTGGCTGCGTTTCCGGGCCGTTAGCGAACTGGACCATGTCTCTCGGGCCCATCGATAGCAAAGTTAAAGATCTCAAGCCGAACCCGCAAGCTGATGGTCTGGGCTACAACCCAAGATGTTTAAGCCGGGATGTGAACAAGCACTCTGCTTACGAGTCGAGGGACGAAGTCATCACCGAACTTATCAAGAACAGCAAAGACATTCTCACCTTCCAAAACCGCATGCAGGGTGATTACCCCAACAAGTACATGGGTGTTCACACCGCTGGTCACTACACCGTTGGAGGAGATGCTGGCTCTGACTTTTTCAACTCGCCATCCGACCCTGTAAGTATTCCGCTACACTTCTGATCTATCTGAGTGCGCGCTGACTCCATCGCTAGGCCTTCTACTTCCATCATGCACAAATCGATCGCACGTGGTGGATCTGGCAGAACCAAGACCTGAAGAACAGGAGAAATGCGATCGACGGCACCATCACGTTCTTGAATAGCCCACCGAGTCGCAACGGCACACTAAACGATACGTTGACCCTGGGTCCGATGCTTCAGGATACATTTGAGAATATCACGATCAAGGATGCGATGAGCACGCTTGGTGGGCCGTTCTGCTATATCTATGTGTAGATAGATGCAGCGAGGATGTATGAAAACTAATGAACGTATCGTAATGCTCTGCCACAAAATATTGTGATGTAATGGCCTGGAGTTGCCGCTGTGGCGGCTTTCAATGTTTGGGCTCACCATATAGGCACCACTGGGCGCTAAGCCCGCTTCTTACCATATCTTTGGATCTGTCGTACTATTCGAACAAGCTACTCGCGTCGCGCAGCTACAGTGAGTTTTATCGTCTTCACTCGCACATACTGGACAGCGAAACATGCTATGTTGGTCGCTCGTATTGCGACGGCTGTGAGTGGCTCGTCATCTAAGGGTTCTCACCGACGCGTACCATGGTCGCTTCTAGTTTCCAGTCATGCTTGCTTTGCGAACCAGGCCTTTCTCGCCAGGTTGCGCCTATGTGACTCATGGTCTGATGTTACCACCTTGGATTTCTTTTGAGCTGTTCTAACGCACATTCCATTGTATACCTCTCGCCGATATACTTCTCTAGCTCTACCCGCCATCAAACTCCCCATGATGGCCCACCAACGAGAGCCCAGAATGGCAAAGATAAACAAGAAACAGAAGCAGCGGCTTCAGGCGCAAGAAAAAGAGCTAAGTCTCGAGACGGAACAAGAAGCGAAAGCGCAAGAGACACAGCATTACAACTCAGCAAGCGACTCAGATTCATCAGAAACGGTCAGGTATGCGCCTACCAGCATTCTGAAGCATGAGGAATTTGCGTCTCCAGCTACCACCAAGCTTCGAAGGAAAATGTGGCTATCTTTGAGTGCTCATGTTGAACTCAGCAAGTTACTAGAGGCTGCAAAGAGCTCGAGCGATCATCATTTCGATACATGGTCGAATCCGAAGACTTTGAGAAGGGACCCGGAATTGACACAAGACGGATGGGAGAAAGCAATCGAGCAACAGTACCAAACCTGGTACGATGATACTGTCAAAAAGCTGAGTGCAGAAGTCGACGCGCACTCTTATACCGTCCGCCAATGGCAGATAACCGAAGAGCACGGAAACATGCCAAAGTCAGAAACACTACCTTTGATAGTGCAGGCTGAGACAACTACTGCCGGTCTGAGAAAGCTCCTCATCATATTGCGAGGCTTCAAGAATCAGATGAGAGGAGAGTACACCGATGCTCACCAGCATAGCGATGCCACCGATATGGCGTATATCAACTCCATGATACAGCGCTTGACTAAGCCCTACCAGTCACCACAAGTCCATAAGTCATGGTACAAAGGCCCCGACGGACGCGACCTCGACGCGCCCCAGAGGTTTGACAAAGATGCCAGTGACTACTATGGCGGCAGCATCTTCACTGACAATATCCGCTTATGGCTTCACGTCTGGTGCCCTATCGCGTGGCAACGCACAGGTGTACACCCGTGGCCACATGACACCGGGGCTATCCACCTAGTGCACTACAACACGGGCGACCATGCTTGTGACTACCTTTTTGGCAAAACAGACAGTACACGCGGCCACTTGATGGACCCATCAAACGGCCTCTTTCTTGGCTTCGAGTTCAAGCGTATGCTCAACAGAGCTCAGATCATCATCGTTCCTGCCAGCGTGGGCGATACCGACCCCGAGACCGGCAAAAAAGTACAAGAAACCGACAAAGAACCGTACAAAGTACGAGTGCTGGACCCAAAATTGAGGAATGGGGATGGCGACTTGAGATACCGAACTTGGCCTGTTGCCCATACACAGCTCGATGGGAGGATTCTGGAATTTGCAAACGACAATCGGCCAAAGAAGATGTACCTGTGGTATCGCGCCGTTTTGAATATCGCGGTGCGACATAGACTCCAGGCGCCCGGCTGGGAGGGAGAGATAGAAGCCCTAGGACAGAACTCGTGGTGCGCACCCGGTGAATCACTCCGGCGATCTACTATGGCTGCGATTCTAAAGCACGTTGGCTTCATCGATGACCCCGAGCCTATCTTCGCGCTAGGACCCACATTGAAGGGCCCCCCCGAGGAAGGTACAAACGATAGATCCATCGCCGATCGAGTGGCCATGGTACTGGATACAACGCATACGAACTGGCTTAAATCCCGTCGCAGCGCTTTCGCCAGCATGCATGCAGGCAAAGAGGTGGAGATTGATTGGGAAGACGAGGCGCAGGAGCAACACCATAAATTTGCGTCGCGCAAGTTGTGTTTAGACGCGGGTTTTGTGTGAGAAGACGTTGAGGGACTGTGGGATGCTAGATAGCTTTAATCTGAATTAAACGAATACTACTTCAAACTCCTACAAAATTGCGTATAAAACGGGGTATAACTTCTAAAAGCGTCAACAAACACAAACTCCGATACCATAATGCCATCATCTCCCAATCATCACATTTCTACGTCGCACCCCCAACAGCAATCTTCTTCTTCACGGCCCTCATCTCCCTGACCGTGCCCTCCTTCCCCAACCCCCTCCCCACCTCAACAACAATCATCCTAACAAAATCTTTACTAAGCCAATAACTGCTATGCGCGCCCAGCATAGTCAGATACTGAATCTCCAGCGGCCCACCACCATATTTCATATAGTAATCAATCTGCCCATTATCATTAAGCAAATACGCTCTCTTCTCCGCAATCTCCTCGCGCGTGAAGTTATGCGTTTCGAGCTCGACGTTGCTGGGCAGACGGATAGTGGTAGGTCTGTCGTTTGCGGGGTTGTTGGCGGAAGAGGTGGACGAGCGGAAGGGGTTGAGCGAGGCGAAGTAGGAGGTTGAGGCTGAGGGGATGGTGGTTTGTTTGAGCATGGAGGCGTAGACGACGTCGACGGTGGGGTTTATGCGGCAGGCGACGGGGTCGTAGGGGTTGATGATGTTGTAGATGTTGTCCACGGCGAGACAGCCATATGTGCCTTGCTCGCCTGCGATGCCGGGGGCTGCGTAGGAGTCGGCGCCGGGCTTCTCTTTGTCGCGACGAGGGAGTAGATTTGCGTTTTTCATGAGGAGGAAGAGGCCGACGGGGCTGCCGCAGACGAAGAGGTCTGTCGTGTTGAATATGAATTGGTCTTGGGGTAAGTCGGCTTCGGGGAAGGATGGGTCGGTAAATTGCGGATCGACATAGGTTGGTTGTTGGCTGAGGATGTCGATGGCCATCACCGAGCCGAGCGAATGGGCGATCAGATGTACTCGCCCATACTCTGCGAACCCAGGGTTGTTCTGACACCACAGGCGGTAGATGCGGTTCGCCTCTGTGATGCAAGCTGATATCATCTTGGGGTTGTGCATCGGCGACAGGTAGTATGGGATGTCGAGCATGACATCGCTAACGATACCACGTACGGACGGCAGCGTATCGGGTGTGATGTCTTTGAGTGTGTATTTGTTCGCAGAAGGGTCTTCAAGCTCGGGACCCTCGGTGTTATCGACGTCGAGAGATACGCGGTGTCGCCAATTGACCTGCCTCGTGTTAGTACATTGATCGAGAATCACTGCGATGATGACTTACTGGCAGACACATGACACCTCCCATATCCTTTCGCAGGTGCCGCTTGACATCCGGAGTCCCAAGCTCAACGTTCATCTCTCTTCGAAAAGCGTTCATCGCGTGCGTGAAATGAAACGTCTCCATTCGTTCTGACAGCTTCTGCCCAATACCATGAATGACCAACACCAGGTCTGACACCTTCGGTCGTTCAGACTGCGCGAGGTCGGGGTCCGACTTCTGTCTTCGATACTGTGGCGCGCCACCTTGCGATGACGAGACACCCTCGCGTGCTGCTTGTGCCTCTGGCGAATTCTTGTTCGGATGGAGCTTGTCCCAAACAGCCTGGTCGAAACCGCGCACTACGTGAACGCCGATCGCTCTGCCCTTGCGGATATAGTTCGCCAGTGGTCGCCGCCCATAGTAGTCTGATGGTTGGAGTGCTGGCTTGAGGATGAAGGCTTCCTTATCATTAGAGTAAATCACGCCCGCTTTCAAATACAGGCGCTTCCTTCCGTCGGCACCGTACTCCAGATCTCCCGCTGCTTTGTGGTCTGGCCCCTCTGGACCTGTGGAGATGTCGATCAAGTCGCAAGCATTCTCCACGGTTTCTTTACGCTCCTTCTCCGGATCATCATCCTCTTCGGGTAGGGTACTTTGGACGAGACCTGCTGTTTGCATCATTTGTTGCGAAGTCGACGGCCTGCTCTCTGCTCTCTTCGGCCGTTCGGGCCAGAGGTGATGGAGTATCTTCATCTCGCCGAATGCACCGACCTCAACAGCGCTGTTGAGCTCGTCCGTCCACGTCTGCGTCCAGGGTCTCAGTTCGATGTATCCGGCTTCGAGCATGTTGGCCACTTCCACCTCGACGGGCATCATGCTGTCCTTGTAGAACCACGTTCCTCGCACTATCTGGGCGACGTCGCTGAGCGGCGACCAGTATATAGGCTCCATCCGTATTGACTCTGTGTCCATGACTACGTGATGTAGTCTTGAGACCCCCACGGGCACCTTCGCGGATGGCCCCGGTTTCGGCTTGGAGGACCTTCGCGCAGGCGCCTTGTCCTTGGCCGTCGAAAGAGCAGGCTCCATGTCGTCATCCCACTTGTAGCTGTCCACTTCATGTATAGTCGGCCGGTGGCCTCCCTCCATAGGCGCCGGCTTCCACGACTTGGCCAGATTCCCTCTCGATGGGGCTCGGATGAACGGGGTGCCGGTCGTCGCAGGCTCGAGGGGCGATATTGGGCCGGGGTCGTAGGCCTTCAGCGAGCCAGACATGGACTGGCCGTAGCTGCCACCACCCGAGCCGGGCGTTTTCTTGTCCACCAGCTCGGCAGACCTCGAGTACTGCCCTCTGCTCGATGACCGCCCAGATGGAATGTCTCGTCCCTGGATCGAGCCTTCCTCGCTCGAAGCACTAGCGCCTCTCTTCCTCTTCAGCCGCTCCACCGCCGGGTTGGTCGGCGTACCGCGTCCCGTCGCATCTTTCTCCCCAAACTCCTCGGTGTGCTTCAGGATCTTCTTCCGCAGCTCCAGCCACGACTCCTGGATGGCTTCATTGTCGTATTCGGAGAAGGGCCGCGGTGGCACTCTCTTCGCAGTCGAGGTGCCCGTGGGCGGCGGCGGGAGCGGAGACAGCGGGTCGTCTATAGCGAGCGGCGACGTGTAGAAGTAGCGGACGGGGATCGTGGGTGGGGCTTCGGTGTTGTGCAGGACCTCACGAACGTATTGGTTCGCGCGAGACGATAGTGTGGGCTCGTTGCCTGCCATGACGTCTGGCGTGGTTTGGTGTGGGCGTGAGCTGCAACTTTCAAGAGAAGCAGTCGTGGAAGAATCCCATCATATCATGGTGCTAGCGCGTATTTCGTCCCTCACGTGTTCGTGTGAAGAAGACAGCTGGCGTGGACTTTGGTGGCAGCCTGAGGATGGATGTTGTTCCTTGTTGTTCTAGGGCGGTATATTTCCGATCACCATTCGGAGCACTGACGCAACCGCCGCGCTAAAAACGACGCGTGCCTCGACATGTGAACAGCCCTCCGTCAGCCGCCTCACCCACCGAACCTATACACAGAATATCCACGTTTGCGCGAAATTGCGCCGAACCATCCGATGTGGCATGTGCTCCAAGTTGTGCACGCAAAGTCTACACCGTTATTTCACAATGCCAACGATTCATAGTCATCGACCTACACCACACATCGTGACCTTACCTGGATTTGGACATGGCACCACATAAGTATTTTCAAGCAAACATTCTCGCTAACTCCCTAAGCAAACTATTACATTCAAATCAGTCTGAGCCAAAATCCGCACAGCAATACCACCATGTCATCCACCACTACCATGACCATGTCATCAAGAAAGGTACGCAACCAGCGTCACACGCTGTGCGTGTATACCCCCAAATATCTACTATCTCCTCAACCCTTCGTGGATTCACCAAGAAAGCTGGGCAACACGCTGTGCGTGTCCACTCCCAAACCGCTACCATCTCCCCACCCCTTGGTAAGCGCCTTCGGCGAACCACCAAAAACGCTGGGCACGTATGCTCCGAACCCACCACCGCCACCGTCTCCCGGGCCTCTCGTAGGCGTCCTCGACGAGCTCACCGAATACTACGATGGCGAAATTGCGGCGTGGGAAGCCAAATGTAATGAACAACAAGCCTGGCTGGACCAGGCTTCCGAACTCATCGCCGAGTACGAAGAAGAAAGAATTGCCGGGATGGAGCATATCGGCTTCCTGACCAAGTGTCTGTACGCGAACGAAAGAGCCCTGACGCAGTGTTTGTACGCTATGACGCTAATAGTAACGGTACTGCTGGTACGCTGAAACTACCAAGAAGAGGAAACGTTTGAAAGGAAAATATGTCCAAAGTCACTACTGCTGTTACCGTTAGGCAAAACCTTGAGCCGAGACAAGCCATAACAACGAAATACGACGTTGACGGTTAGCGAGGAACTATCTATACCACGCTACCGGAGATGACGCGCTTGCTCTCTCTGGCACCGCCAAAGGAGATAAGCATTGCGAAACCGCGCATACAGCAGAGGATCATCTCGGCCACCGAGTAGTGGGTAAGCTGAGATCAAGACAGGTTCGTGACCAGCTCGGAGATGCGTATATCGTGTGCTTCGATATTGAAGCTGTGAGGAGGAGAGGGGAAGGAGGGGAAGGACAAAGTCTTGAGTGAAAGAAATCCAGTCTGATGGTACATGGGCAGGCCCATGTATGTAACACTCTGGGAGACTAAATCGAAGGCTGCGTCCGGGGAAAGTAAGAGGTTGTCGTCGAAGTCGGATAAAAGTGTAACCTGAGTTGCTTTAAGGCCAAGGGAATGAATATGACTTTGTTCATGATGATATAAATTATGGGTATCTTGTTACTCAAAAACGTACTTTTGCCCCCAGCGCCCAATAACATAAAAGAAAACATTTCACCTCCGATTCTGATGCCGCCACCCTAGCCCCGCCGCCCCCCTCGCGGCTAACCACTCATTCTCCGCCTTTCCGCCATGTCTTCCAAGTAATGATCCAACATCAACCTCCAACTCCCTCCAAAGCGCCTGCTCCACGCTTTCCATAAACTCTCTGTCCTGCCCATGACTTCCCAGCAACACGATCTTCCCCGGCGGCATCCCCAACCCGCCCACAGCATGGACAACAGCTTCCTGTAGCTTCGCCCAGAACTTTGCGCGGGGGGCTTCGTACACGGGGAGACTCCACCAGCCGAGATCGTTTCGCGCGACGTAGTTGATCATGTAGGAGTGGGGGGTTGGTGGTTTGATCTTGGTAGGGGAGCAGCTGGTTTCGTGCATGCTTGCGCTGAAGGAACTGGAGTCGAAGGCCAGGACGAGGATGTGTTGGTGTTGATGTGGGAGGGTTGCGGTGGCGCATGAGGCGTGTTCTAATCCTGCATGTGTGGCGTATGCTTCCGAGTATATCAAAGGGGTATCCTCCGATAGAGCGAGGCCAGCTGATAGTAAAGCGGTTTCAAAGTCCTTCTCATGGGATCCGTAGAAGGGGAATGTGACGGCCGATGTGATATTTGTGATTGGGTGGTTGAGTCCATGTTCGAGGGTTGCGTGGACTTGTGATAGGAATTCTGTGAGGATTCTGCTGTCGTTTGGAGAATTTGATGAAGTGTGTGGTGTCATCCACCGCGACATTAGGTCTATGTATTCGGCATCTCCGGGGATTTGGGCCAGGTCGATTGTTGTGCCGTTTGGGTACCGCGCAGCTGCTACTGCTTGTGATGTTGTGAAATGGACGCCGATGCTGGGAGGCGCATCAAGTCCTTCCGCGCTGGTGTGTTTGTCGAGGGGTTCTTCGACAATGGGTATTTGGTGGTGGTATCGTACAGCTCGTGCACTAGCCAAAGGCACAAGCAGAAGAAGACCGAAGAGTTTCATTTTGAAGTCGTGAGATGATGATTGTTTACAAAGAAAGAAGAGAGCGTAAGGAACCGACTACAACAAAGAGCGGACCCGAGTATTCGTAGGATCAGGTGCAGAAAGAAAGGATGGCACAGCGTGAAAGAGCGACGGTGGTGAGTAAGGAGTGGTGGGTGAAGAAGCGGCAACGACAACGGCGGTACGCTCGTCGTCCCCTCACTCCATCAACGGGGCGACTCCCGACGCCTTATAGGAGTCGTCCAAAGACATCCGATCGTACCGTCAAGGCAAAGAGGATCCGAGGTTCTGGTCAGGGACTTGTGGATCCGCCCACTGTTCCGTGGGCACTAGGGGTATACGAGCTAGCCCGGCCTGCGATCGGTCCAACCTAATGGCTTCAAAGAACCCCTCTCCGGGTCCCATGCAGGACAAAAAACGCGTTCCTGGGTCTCGGTCACCGTGTCTTGAACCCTCCGTTGGCACTCAACAATTCGGACAGCGAGCAAACGCGGGCGCGTAACAGCTGTTGTGAAGCTGTTGGAAGCGCGCTGTGGCCCAGGTGTCAGTCGGCAGGGACCGAAAATAGAAACTCGCCCAGACCCGGCACGCTCGGCAGTACTAGAAGCTTGTCCTACCCCTCTCTCGTACTTTTCGCTCCTAGCTATGGCAGAACAAGACTCGGGCGAGCCTTGGCACATGTATTGATTGCTCATATCTTCTCCGCAAACGGTTCTCCTTCGAGTCAACTACCTGCCGTCTCATCGCGCAAGCGATTGCGATACGAAGTGGCGCTAGAGGACCCTTGACATGCGCGTGATACTCGCGTTATACGGACGAATACGCTGCATCAAGATTTCTGTATAACATTAGGTGCGGGTTTCATGTGTCTACATGGCTCTTGTGAGTAAAATAGAAGGCGTGGTAAGGCTCAACGTCTGCTCGAGCGTGTGCAGGAAAGGTTCTTCGTAATTATTGATAGGCGTCCTGCCGTTGCTGCCACCATTGTGTGGCGCATGTTAAACCCGACAGCGGGACGCGTTCCGTTAGCTGCTCTCACGCGTCGTTCAAAGCAGAAGGTACAAAGGAGCTCATTCCGTCTGAGCCGTACTGACTATTGAAAGCGAAAAAAGGATACAACCGGTGAACTTCATGCAATGTGCGGGGAACATACTTTCACATTGACACCTTGAAAGCAGACGTTGTACTACACAGAGCGTTCATCTTCAGGAATTCGTGCCTAGCGCTTTTCTTTGAATGAACCTGATAACTTGAGAGGGGCACGTAAGCAGAGCGCATCAAGATTTCTTCCTCAAGACCCTCGCAAGCGAAGATACCCAATGAAAAAAAAAAGAGTCGCGCCAGCCAGAAGTAGTGCAAGATACTGGCGGCACCGTGGCCTCGAGGTATGAGCGAGCCCAGGGACCTTGAGGTCGAACTACAAAAATAAGAGTAATGGATGAACCGCCGCAGCGGTATCATAGCTATTACACTATGAAGAACAGATACTACACTTGATCAGAGCCAGATTGGCAAAGAGAGCTGGTGAGTAGTTGAGGGACGGGGGAAGGGCGGGTTTATATAGACGATGGGGGTGGGTCGTGCGGCGTTAGGCGGGCGCACGTGAGACTGCTGCCTGGCTAAGGGGTTGCACTGCTGCGCACGTGTTGCGCTGTTGCCTAAATCTCGAAGATCACGGCTGAGCGTGTCGCTCTGCTTGTTGCCGTCTTTGCTGGTACAAGGCAAAAAGATGTGGCCGAGAGTCTGGATGGAATCTCTCATATATATTCGACGGGAAAGCAACCGACAGCGACGCACCTCAAAACTACCACGATCATCCCACATCTCATAGTAACTTCGATGATCAGCCCGCACCAGGGCCAGGCTCCATTCTGAGTCAAAGGCTCATCCTCTTCTTCGTCAGCAAAGGGCCTAAGCAGAGATCAATCTCTACCCAGGTAGTTCGATACGTCATTCACGGTCGGTATGCTTCCGCCACTCTTCTCACTGACGGCATAACCATGTATACCCCGGCATGCCCCACTGTCTATACGTCCGATTTCTGTGTCTACATTCCCATCCTCTAACAGAGTAATCGGGTACTCGTCATGCTCATCTCCAATCTTGTTCCTCAGCTTAGAGCCCCCGCCGATAGTTGCAGGATGGCTCACTTCGTCCGAGGGGCCGACTCTGTTGGAAGACCACAGACGAGTTGGAGATATCAGTCTGAGGAGCGGGCGGAGAGTCATGATGCAGCAGTTGATAATGGCTACAGCAGGCTCGGCGACGGACCAGAAAGCCGCGTCGGTCATTGCGTAGGGTAGGTTTTTAGTGTTGCCTTTGGTATGAAGGAGGTCGAAGATAACGACAATACGAAGGATAGAAATGGCCGTAACACTACGATTTAGATCAGCTGACATGAACTAGACAAGCAGCTCCAAGAGTCTCGTACAGTAGACCTATTGCAAAGATCGCCACCAAGCCGATCTTGGCACCTCGAGTCATTTGTAGTTTTCGGATGAATGGTATAGGCAACAGGATGATGATCAGATCGGTTATCATGTTGAAGATGCCAGTCGCAACGAATGCCGTGCTGTGTTTGTGATCCGGGCAGTACTTTTTGGACAAGAGAGGGTTCCAGTTCGCCTCGAGAGGCGTGCACAAAAGAAAAGTCGCAAGCATGCTACCGAGCCAGTACGCAACGACCAAGCCCATGCATATCCACACCCAGATACGATGTTCCTTTAGTGTGAAAAAGCGTAGGTAGAACAAGAGGTAGGATAGCTTGACGCTGGAGACGGCGGCGTAGTACACAGCTTGGTAAGCTATGAGCAGCTTAGCTAGGAAGATGCTGTTGGCAATGGGTAGTTCTTTGGTCTGGTATCCCATCCCGTAATTCGCGTCTGTGATGTGCATTGCGAGCATGCCTGCGTTGTTGGTTAGTGTCCGGTCCAATGGTATGGTATCGCATCGCATGGGCATTGCGCCCTGGCCGGCTTGTACATACCGATAGTGAAGATCAGTGAAACCACTGCGGCAAAGTCATCCCACCCACAGCTTTGTCAGATCATGTGACCTTTGGCAGTCATTGTGAGTCTTCACATACCATATCTTAGTCCCGCAGATTCGTCTCGTGATGAACCGTAACACAACGAGCGTAGTAGCGAAACCGACGAGGAAGAAGTTCGCAGCCAAGTGCCTTGTGACGAGCTCGGAGTGGAAGATGTTCGTCTTCGTTAATGGATCAAAGGGTAGCATGTTGGCAAACGAATATGGTGTTCTAGATAGTCTTGGGAGGATATGGGACGAGATGCTGTTATTTGAGAACTGATTGTTGTTTGATATAGCAGAATCATCTCGCCCCCGCATGCATTCGATAAGCCGACAAAGTAGATGGTGTGGTTGGAAAACGCCATGGCATTGGCTCAAACCACTCGCAATTTGGCGAGCGTAATGGCATACTACCTTATACGGCCCCGAGGGGCTATGCGCAAGGCAGAGAATATGTTGCTGCGCAGTGCATGCGACATATCCCCATGCTAATGTCAAACAACAAGATCTTTTACGGAGGTGGATGCACGTCAGGATTCAATAAGCAGGTGTATTTTTCTGAGAGACAAGAGACGAATCGCTATCGAGCTACGATAGCGATTGTCGGGTGTATATGCCTAGGTCGAGTCAGCTCGGGCTTGTTTAGGCTAGGGTAGAAAGCTTGTCCTGAGAGGACTGCATTTCGCATATTAGTTGACAGCCCCATTCAGCTGGCAATCTCATGTCAGCTTACAGTTTCAAGCTTGCCTACTCCATGCTTTCATGACGTCTTTCCCTGCGGAGCGGTCTGTTCAGCGAATTGTACGATCAATAATAATAGGACGGGCATTCTGCAGAGAGTTGTGTCACCAAAGGCCACCGGAATTGCACCAAGCACTGTTGTCGAAAAGGCTGTGAAGGGTGCGTTGCGGCATTGGTTGAAGACCATGCCCCGCAGTCGCGCACGCGAGCGGTACCGTAACATTCGTCGGATCTTGCGTGCAATCTTGAAGCTTCGTCAAAGAAAGTCGTGCGGGTCTTTATTGTGCGGATGTAATTACATTGTGTTGCCAGGTAGATGCAGCGGTACCTAGATGCGTGGAATAAAAAGTGAGCCGCTTGCTATCGCGTCGACTAAACACGAGAACATAGTAACTGGAGCACTTCTGCTTTGGCTAGAGACGTTTTGAGGCTGCAGTGGAGCGCGGGCGGGACCGGGTGCTGAGCCTGCAAAGCTTTCCGGCTCCGCGCCCTCACCTGGAGGGATACTAGCCGCGTCTTTCGCGCTCTGTCTGCTATTGTCAAGCAAGCAGGTGGATATTTTGCGAGTTCGCAACAAGATAGGCGCTCGGCATACCGTTGAGGACCCGCATACCCCGGCCCGCAGCCTTAGTGCCCCCCAATCATCGCTTGCCGTCTGCCGAGGGAGCAGCCGCCCGTTGCGTGTTGAGACCACGATGAATCCAGATCAATAGTCCTTTCTCTTTTGAGAAGGTCGTCAGTCCTATGGCGGGACAGTCGCTTAGGCTTTCGCTTTGTACTGCGATGGTCGCACAGCGTCTCCCTTGTGCCACCATAAGCACACATATTTACCAATCGACAGCATGCACATCGGTTGCGTTACATCTATCGATGCGCTTTCCACGAGAGAGCCCGACTTCATCGTCATTGGCGGCGGTATCGGCGGGTTGGTGGTTGCCAATCGCCTGAGCGAGGATGCAGACAAGAGCGTGCTATTGATCGAAGCTGGCGCCAACCGACAAGGAGACCCCAAGATCGACACTGTTGGTATACTATCAACGCTTTATGGCGATCCTGACTACGATTGGGACTTCATGTCTGAGCCTCAGGTGAGTCCAGCGGCACGATGCCATGTTGCCGTTAAAGAGAACATCGAACTCAACTGACAATCGGGCTTGTAAGACACACGTCAACGGTCGCCAGATCCCGCATCCCCGAGGAAAGGTTCTTGGTGGATCTTCAGCCATCAACTTTGGCGCGATCGTATATCCATCAAAGGCTAACTTTGAAGCCTGGGAAGCACTCGGCAATGAGGGTTGGGACGCTGCTGGCATCGCGCCGTACCTTCGCAAGTTCAGCCGCTTCACGCCACCCAGTGCGGAGACGAAAGAACTTCTCAACATAGACTACATCAATGAGGAGTTGCACGGCAAGGAAGGTCCTGTTCCAGTCACAATTCCGGACGTGTATGGACCGTTCCAGGCGTCGTGGGCCAAGACCCTGGACAAGATGGGTTGGTGCAACACGGATGATCCTATTGAGGGCGAGAAGCTGGGTACATTCGCGTGCGGATTGTCCATTGATGCCGAGACGAAAACTCGCGGCTATGCAGCGTCAGCATACTACACTCCAGAAGTTGCGAAGAGACCAAATCTCGAGGTCTTGACGGAGGCATTCGTCGAAAAGATCCTGACGAAGGGCTCTGACAGCTCTGTAGAGGCAACGGGTGTGAGTGTGCGAACAAAGGATGGATCGAACCATGAGATCATAGCGAAGAAGGAGGTCATCCTTTCCGCAGGAGCCATTCAATCACCGCATATCCTTGAACTTTCCGGAATCGGCCAGAAAGAGCTTCTTAGCAAACATGGTATACCAGTAGTCCTCGATAGCCCTGGTGTGGGTGAGAACCTCCAAGACCACGCCATCTCTGCTCCTTCGTTCGAGATCGCCGACGACCAGTTCTCTGGAGACATCATGCGCGATCCGAATATCGTCCAGGCCGTACTCCAACAATACATGACCACCAAGACCGGCCCGCTCGTCGGTATCCCGATCAGCATGACCATGCTTCCGCTCGTCGACTCTGACGGTCGCATTAGCCACGAAGAGATCGCGAAATTGACAAAGGAGTACATCAACGACAAGGAACTGCCACTCTGGCAGAAGAAGCAGTATGAGCAGCTCGAGAAGCAAATCCTAGGCCCCAAGGAAGCAGCAGGATACGCGATGATGCTACCACTGCAGTTGAACATCTCTTCTGGTGCGACGCAGATGAACGCATTGCTTGCGCCAACTCACCCCAACAACTTCATCACAGTAATGGCAGTCAACAATCATCCCTTCTCACGCGGCTTCTGCCACATCCGATCAGCAGATCCGACGGAAAAGCCCATTCTAGACCCCCAGTATCTTTCCCATCCACTGGATCTAGAAATCCTCGCCCGGTATACGCAATACATCGAGACCATAGTCAAGACCGAGCCGTTCGCTTCTCTTCTCAAGCCAAGTGGAAGGTTGCCCGAGGGCAAGGAAGCCAAGGATTTGGATACGGCGAAGGAGATCGTCAAGGAGCGATTGTTGAGCACGTTTCATCCGACCGGTACATGTGCGATGATGCCGAGGGAACTGAATGGAGTCGTCGACAGCAGATTGAAGGTATACGGAACAAAGAACCTTAGGGTCGTTGATGCGTCGATCTTCCCGATGGAGACGTTAGGTAATATACAGGCAACGGTGTACGCTGTGGCGGAGAAAGCAGCCGACATCATTAAAGATGATTGGAAGATCTGAGAGCGATATGCGAGTACATCCGTATAAATATGAAGAACCGGGATCAGCCTATCCTAGCACTATCATCACATGCCCACAACGCTCGAAAATGGCATCTGAACGGTGTTAGAGGAGAGCAATACAGGCGATGTTCGAATTGACTTGCTCGACTTGTTTGTTTTCAGCTCTACCTACCACGTCGACCAACCACGCTCAACCGCTTGCTGATACGGCTCGAGCGTGATGTTTTGCGTGTCGCCGTTGGAAAGGTAATACATATCCTCGCCCGCATGCTGCGGGCCAACACCATATTCTTCACCCTTTTGAAATGCTCGTAGATCGACTCGATTTGGCGGAAGTACACCATCAACCGTACATTCTTTCATTACTTCCTCGGCCAATACATGAAGCTTTTCTTCAGGGAGAGGATCGAAGCTTATACCGCGTGCAGGCTGCTTGTCCGTGCTCCAGCTGGCTCCTTGGTAGCTGTAGAGACGCCCTCGTAGCCAATCGCAATTTTCGTATTGTATGTAACTCGATACGAAGCCAGGTAGACTACCGCTGGGAATGATGGATGTCTCATAGTGTATGATCTGGCTCGAATAGTCGCCTCGGTGGCGTTTCTCTTCGAGATAGTGGGCGATGCAGGCTTTGTCGCATTCTTCAACCGTTACACCAGGCATGGGCAGGAAATGTAACTCCAGACGGTAGGGACATCCATAGGCAAAGTACGGGGTGTCTCGGATGAGAGCTTCGAGAAGTTCGACCGGCTGGACATTCCCGGGATTGACGTCTTGATGGGTGAAATAGACGTGGAAACTGTAGAGCGGTGGAAGTGGACATGTTTGTCTGCCTCTAAACACCATGAGCGCCTCTTTGCCAGCATGGTCGGTGAATGGAAGAACATGTATTTTGACGCGATATATGCGACCCATTTTCCCCAGGCCTCCGCTCAAGGTCGCGCTGTTTTCGTCTCTCTTTAGGATCGAGCGGGTTGTTGCAGGCTGACGAGACTGGTACGCGGAGGCGATGGGAAGACGCGTTGGTGCCTAGTCGCGGAGACGCCAGCGCACGTGCATGACCAAGGCTAGCCGAATTCATCAGTCAAGCTAGCTGGAGGCATCTCAGGCTATATCTGATCACGTCCCGGTTGTACGTGACTGTGTTTGGGTGTGATGTGCGCAGCGAGTTTCTGCATTTTTGCAGTAGTTACTCGGTTTGCCTGTGGGGAGGACGCTTCTTGTTGGGCGGCTTTCGTCATGACTCCGCACGTACACGGAAAGAACTGCAGAGACTACATCGAGACATGGCTGATAGTGCCCTGTTCAGACTGCGCGACGCCAGCGAAGCGGTAGAGAGATGAACAGCGTAAATGATGGGGATCA